GCTGCTGGGGACAGACCTGATATGGGGCGTGGGGATGACAATCTGTACATGGAAGGAGAAAGTAAAGTTTTGGAAGCAGTACTGGGTGCGGGGGAGCAAAACGGGGGAGCTGCCGGTGCAATTCACTAAGCAGGAGCCAAAACGAGCGTACACGGCCGAGCAAGCAGATAGCGAAGGGAGAGGGAAGGCGGGCCTAGTGGGCGAAGCAGCGGTAGCGAATGCGTGGCAGGAACCAATCAGGCTGGTGGAGCTGTTCGGGGGATAGGCGCAGGGTTGGCAGCGGTGCTCAGAGCGGGAGTAGCGGTGAAGGAGTGGATATACGTGGAGAAGGACGGACAGGTGAGGAAGATGGCTGAACAACATGCAAGGAGGCTGCAGAAAGAGCATCCAGAGCTACTAGAGGAGGCCGTGATAAGCAAAGCAATGTCAGGGACGCTGACCGACGTGAGGAACGTGACACGAGAAGTGGTGAGGGGCTGGGGGCAGGTGGACCTGCTGGTAGCAGGGTGGGAGTGCCAGGCCGTCTCGAGAGCAGGGAAAGGAAAGGGGTTAGAGGATCCAAGGGGAGCACTGCTCATCAATTTGCTGAGCATCATAGACTGGATCAAGGAAAGACAGGAGAAGGTGGTGTACCTGCTGGAGCACATAGATCTAGAGGGAGACTGCCGGGAACCAGTCAGAAAAATCCAAGAGTTAGTGACAAGGAAGCTGGGAAAGGGCGTGAGGTGTGATGCGGCCAGGCTGGGGGCACGGGCTCACCGTGTCAGAAGGTATTGGCAAAATGTCGTGACGGACGAACAACTGCAGAGGGAGCTGGATGGGATACGAAGGGACTGGAGCAGGACGGTGCAAGAGATATTAGAGCCAGGCAGGACAGCGGCGCCGGTAAGGAAAGGCAGGCACGAGACACAGTGCCCATGCAACAAGGTGGGGGCAGTACGCAGGGCTTGGCCGACACTGGTGGGGTACAAGGGGGCAGCCGGGTTCAGGGAGGAAGGAGGAGTGCCAGGAGAAGGCATGGTGTACGATCATAAGACAAAGCAGTGGGAGGAACCAACGGCACTGGAGCGGGAGCTGGCAATGGGGTATGGGGAAGACATAACGAAGGCAGCAGGGGTGACAGAACAGGAAAGGAGGAAGGCATTAGGACAGGCAATGGACGGACAGGTGATGCAGTGGCTGATGCGCCGAATGTGGAGAGGGCTGGTGCTGGAAGGGGATCAGGAGCTGCGGAGCAAGAAGGAGGGAGTAAAAAGGGTGGGGGCATGGGCGTGTGTGGCAGCACAGGAAGAGCCAGCGTGGGTAGTGGGGAATGCAATGAGCGAACAGGGGAAGAAGGCAATGCAGGAGGTGCTGGCCAGGTACAGGCATGCCTTTGCATTCAACCTACAGGAGCTGGGAAAATGCACAGTGAGGGAGATGGAGCTGAAGCTGGTCACGGAGGAGCCAGTGTTTCAAAGGAAGCGGAGAATGACACCCGGGGATGAAGACATCTGCAAGGAAAAATGCAAAGAGTTGCTAGAAGCAGGGTTGATACAGAGATCAGAATCAGAGTACGCGACGCCGACAGTGGTAGCTGCACGAAAGGACCTGCTGGGGGAGGTGCTGAGTCGACGGATGTGTGGGGACTACCGAGCACTGAACAAAGTGACAGTGCCCGATAGGTACCCAATGCCGACAGCGGAGGATATTTTTGACCGACTGGGGGCAGGGGAGATCTTCAGCACGCTAGATTTGAGACAGGGCTTCAACCAGATCAAGATCAGAAAGGAGGACGTGCGGAAAACGGCATTCCATGGAGCAGACGGGCTGTACGAATGGCTGTTTATGCCATTCGGGCTGAGGAACGCGTCGGCCATCTTTCAGAGAGTAATGGACAGCGTGTTGCGGGGGCTGGAGTGTGCAGCATGTTACATAGATGACGTAGTGATATTCAGCAGGAGTGAGGAGGAGCATGTGCGAGACGTGGAGCGGACGCTGAAGGCGTTGGCGGCGGCAGGGCTGACCTGTCACCCAAAGAAGTGCAGGTGGGGGGAAGCAACGGTGCAGTACCTGGGGTATGAGGTGAGGGGCGGACAGATAGGGATTCAGCGGGCAAAGGTGGAGGTGCTGAACAGGCTGCAGCAGCCGAAGGACAGAAGCGGGCTGCGAGCGGTGCTCGGTTTTCTGAGTTACTACCGAAGGTTTGTCCCCAATTTCAGCAAGCGCGCGGCACCGCTGAACGGGCTACTGAGGGAGGACAAAAGGTGGGAGTGGGGGACAGAGCAAGAAGCGGCATTGCGAGACTTGATGGAGGCGGTACAGACAGCAACAATTCTGCAGCTGCCCAAGGCCGACAAGCCATTCTGCCTATACACTGACTGGAGCAGCCAAGGCATGGGGGCAATCCTGTGCCAAGAGCTGGATGGAGAGGAAAGGGTGGTGGCTTACGCGAGTAGGAGCTGTAACCCAGCAGAGGCCAAGTACAGCTCTTATCATGGGGAAGGGCTGGCTGCTGTGTGGGCCGTGAAGCACTTCAGAGTGTACCTGCAAGGGAGGGAATTCACATTGATCACAGATCATCAGCCGTTGCAGTGGCTGATGACCCACCAAGGGCTGACAGGGAGAAACGCGCGGTGGGCCGTGACCCTGCAGGAATATGACTTCAAAATACGCCACAGACCAGGAAAGACATTGCAGCACGTGGACGGGCTCTCAAGGAACCCGCCCGCAGCCGAGCCCGTGCACGCGCTGATGCTGCTCGCTAGGCAAGGGGAGGAGGCAGCAGCAGAAAAGCAAGGAAAGAGGGGGCCACAGGACATATGGGAGGATCCCATGGCCCTGCGGTGGATTAAAGGGGAGACAGAGGAGAACGAGCAGGTGACAGATAGGGTGAGGGCACGAGGGCATCACTACCGATGGTACCAAGGACAGCTGCAGCTGCAGTCCGTGGATGGGTGGAAGTTGGTGCCTGTGCCGCAGGAGAGGGAAGGGGTGATCGAGGAGGTACATAGGAAGCTGGGACACTTTGGGCATGAACGCACAACGCAGCTGCTCAAGACCGGCTGGTGGTGGGAAGGGATGAGGAAGCAAGTCCGAGAGTGGGTCAGTGGCTGTGAAGGCTGCCAGAGAAGCAAGGCCAGCTTGACACAGGCAAAGCAGGAGCTGCAGTCACTGCCAATAAGGGGGTTGGGGTTTCGGTGGTCTCTGGACATAGCCGGCGAGCTGCCACTGAGCAGGGGCGGAAAGCGATACATCCTACTCATGGTTGAGCATGCAAGCAAGTGGTTAGAAGTGTGTGCATTGCCGAGCAAGGACTCTAGACTGGTGGCGAGGGCATTCAAGGGACAGGTGCTGTGCAGATTTGGGGCACCAGGGGAAGTCCTCACAGATCAGGGCACGGAGTTCAAGGGGGAGTTTCAGGCGCTGCTGGATGAGGCAAAGGTGACACACAGGCAGACATCAAGGTACCATCCTCAGAGCGACGGGCTGACTGAACGGCTAGTGCAGACCCTGAAGCGGAACCTGAGGGCGTACGGAGAGAAGCGGAAGAGAGACTGGGATGAAGAGCTAGACTGGGTGGCGGCAGGGTACAGATTCGGGAAGCAGGCGTCACTGAAGGACTACTCCCCGTATAGCCTGCTGTACGGAAAGGAACCAATACTGCCTGTGGGAGCGCCAAGGGTACTGACGGGGGTGGTGAGCGTGAAGGGAGCAGACCAGTGGGTGGCGCTGGCAGAAGCACGAGCACGATACATGCGGGAAATGCTCCCGGCAGCCCTAGAGAACTTGCACACGGCACAGCTGAGAGATGCCCACAGGTATGAGCAACGACAACAGCAAGGGGGCAGGAAGGCGAAGGCAGCAGTGAGGGAGGGGCAGGAAGTGTACCTGCGCAGGGCACAGACAGACACCCTGGATGTAGGGTTGGGGACAGAGAGGTGGAAGGTTAAAGAGGTGAGGGGGTCAGGGGTGCTGGTGCTGGAGAATGAGAAGGGTGAGCGGACAGTGGATCACCAGACGAACGCAGCGGCAGTGAAGGAGAGACGGCCTCAGCAAGAGGGTCCTGTGACACGTGCACGGGCAGCCCGAGCACGAGTACAGGAGGGGGCAGGGAATGGCTGAGGAAGGAAGTACTATGCAGGGCGGAAAGGGGGAGAAAGGGACTGAGAACAGTAAGGCAGGAATAAGGGGAGCAGGCAATACAGGGGCAAGTAGCAGGTGAAAGGCAGGAAGGGAAGGGACGCCGACAGCTGTCACTGAATATCATGGTAAGTGCATCATATTCTGTAACTGTGCTAACTGGGGTGTAGAAGTAGTGTAGTAGTTGTTATTCAGTTTGAACACAGGGTAGGTGGGGCATTGGGAGGAACGCGAAGTTGGTACTATGGGGAATTGCAAGGCGCTGCGGGCACAATTCCAGGGCCCTCGGGAGACAGGAAATCTGGCACAAGGCCAATCCAAGGCCAAGGCGGCTCGAGCCCAACCCATCACGCTGAGCAACTCGCGACTGGGTGGCCTAGCATAAATTAGCCTACCCTAGCAAAGGACTCCTGTTCTCTCGTTTGTTTACCAGAGCATAGTGGACTTACGTTACCGTTCTAAGCTACTGCAGCAAGGTGACTAACGCCACTCTTGGTAGCCAGCAGTGGGAGCCTGAATCTCTCAGGGCGGAAAGGGGGAGAAAGGGACTGAGAACAGTAAGGCAGGAATAAGGGGAGCAGGCAATACAGGGGCAAGTAGCAGGTGAAAGGCAGGAAGGGAAGGGACGCCGACATGGTAGGTCTATGTCTATTGGCTGGTAGGTCTATTGGCTGGTAGGTCTATTGGCTGGTAGGTCTATTGGCAGGTAGGTCTATTGGCAGGTAGGTCTATTGGCAGGTAGGTCTATTGGTATGTAGGTCTATTGGCAGGTAGGTCTATTGGCAGGTAGGTCTATTGGCTGGTAGGTCTATTGGCTGGTAGGTGGGATCCTGATTGCATCGCATACCTGCTCCCTCTTCCCCTCCCCCCCAAGCAACATGTTCTATTACCCCAAGAGGCACGTGATAGCAGGGGACTACATTCATGACAAGTGGGACCCCGATCGCATCGCCTATCTGCTCTCACCCATCTCCATGATCTCTCTGCTCCCCTGCGTCCTCCATCCAACCCCTCCAGGCAACATGTTCTACTATCCTAAGAGGCACGTGATAGCAGGGGACTACATTCACGACAAGTGGGATCCTGACCGCATCGCATACCTGCTCTCGCTGCTCTCACCACACACCGTGCGGCTGGATCTACTCACCCACTCCTTCGACCACACCAGAGAAGGTGAGTGTGGGTCGTAACCTTCAGGCTTGGCTGCTGCTCTCTCTGCTCTCTCCCTCACACACTCATCCCTCTTCCATTCATTCATCCCTCTCGTTCCCCTCTGCAACCGTACCCTCCGAAGCATTCTCAAGAAGCCGTGGATTGGAGTGCCGTACACCACATTTTGAGGCGCCTCAAAAATGCAACTGTCCCCCTGAAGCATCCTCAAGAAGCTTCTCAAGAAGCCGTGGTCTGGAGTGCCGTACGCCACAACCCTTTTGAGATGCCTCAACAGTCGTCTGCTCACTTCCTCTCTCTCTTATCCCTCTCTTACACTCCTTCATCCCACTCTCCCCCTCTCCCCTCCCCTGCCTCTCTGCCTCTCCCCCTCTCCCCCACTCTGCCTCTCTGCCTCTCCCCCACTCTGCCTCTCTGCCTCTCTGCCTCTCCCCCTCTCTGCCTCTCTGCCTCTCCCCCTCTCTGCCTCTCTGCCTCTCTGCCTCTCTGCATCTCCCCCTCTCTCCCTCTGCAACCCGCTCTGCCAGGCATTCTCAAGGAGCCATGGTTCGATGTGCCCTACACCACAACCCTGATCCCCTCAACCCTACTCGACCAATGGGCGAGCGACACGTGGCTGCACCCCGACCTGCGCATGCCTCCCCCCAACGAGTTCATTCCCACCAACTTCTCCCTCCGCCCCTCCTCCTCCTCCTCCACTGCTGCCCCTGCTGCCACCACTGCCACCACCGCCACCACCACCACCACCACCACCACCACTGCTGCTACCACCAGTGCTGTCACTACCACCGCTGCCACCACCACCGCTGCTGCCACCAACACCAGTGGATCTCCCAACGGGACAACTCCCAGTGCACCCAGCGCGGTCAACGGGACCACTCCTAGTGTGCCGCGGGTGGTGAGGGAGGAGGCGGGGCGGTGCGTGGTGTGGCACAAGCAGGACGATGTGTTCCGCTCGCCGCGCCTCAACGCCCACTTCGCCCTCTCCTCCCCCCACGCCTGCGACTCTCCCCGCTCTGCTGCCCTGACCGAACTGGCTGTGAAGCTTATAGAAGACTCCCTGAACGAGACCCTCTACCTGGTGAGCACACCCTTTGATCAATACTCTCTCTCGTGCCCTGCATCCATACCTGGTGAGTGAGTGTAGCTACACACATCCATACCTGTCCAGCGACTCAACATCCGCTCTACCATTATCACCGCCCTCCCCCCCCCCATTGCTTTCCCTCCCCATTCCTTTCCCCCTCCTTCACCCTGCACCCCCCCTCCTTCACCCTGCACCCTTCTCCTTTAAATCCCTCCCCCTGTAGGTGTGTTTTGCAAAGCAAGACACCTCTCCATATTGAATCCCTCCCCCATCCATGCTCGTCCAGGGCTTTAACATTTGCACATTGAACCCGTTTCCTGTTTCTCCTCCCCTTTCCCCTCCTTTTTTCCTCCCTCCCACCCTCCACATTGCAGGCGAGTGTGGCCAAGCTAGACACGCACATGGCCGTGCAGGGCTTTAACATTCCCACCTTCAACCCCTTTTCTCCCCCACCCCCTCCCACCTCCCCACAAACAGGCGAGTGTAGCCAAGCTAGACACGCACATGGCCGTCCAGGGCTTTAGCATCCCCCCTGTTACTACCCCTTTTTCCGATTCTCCTCTTCCATCCACCACCTTTCACATCCTTTGCTGTTTCTCCTCTCTCCTCTCTCCGCCTTCCCTCCTCCCCTGCTTTGCAGGCGAGTGTGGCCAAGCTAGACACGCACATGGCCGTGCAGGGCTTTAAGATCGAGATCCGCATCACGGGCTTCAGCCACAAGCTGCCGACGCTCGCCGCGCGCATCTTCCGCCACATCAGCACGTTCCGCGCGCCGGCCGACCGCTTCAGCGCGCTCAAGGAGGAGCGGAGCCGCGCGTACCGCAACGCGCTCTTAAAGCCCCTCAAGCACTCCGCCTACCTGCGCCTGCTGCTGCTGCGCACCCCCGCCTGGACCATCCCCGATAAGCTCTCGGCGCTCGCCGCATGCGATGTAGATGATCTGAACGCCTTTCTGCAGACTCTCCTCTCCCGGGTGAGTTTTGTTCGAGGCAGCATGGTAAAAACTGAGGCTCGGAATCCATTTGGTGATTGAAGGCTGCTTGCGCCTTCAACCCTTACCCATCGAAGGCGCTGCTTGCGCCTTCAACCCTTACCCATCGAAGGCTGCTTGCGCAAGCCCGCCTGGCTGTCGGCGCTCAGCCCTTCTTTCCCCCACTCTTCCCCACCGCCCCCTTTATAACCAGACATACATAGAGATGCTGATTCATGGCAATGCCACGGAGGAGGACGCTCTAAAGCTCGCCACTGCCGTCACAGACACGCTGCCGGTGCCCTCGCCTCCGCTGCTGGACGTTTCTTCAGAGCGCTGCCTGCAGCTGCAGCTGGCCATATTGGAGTCACATTTGAGAGCTCCCCTGCCCGTTGCCCCCTTCTCCCCACTCCGCTCCTTCCTGTCACCCCTTGCTGCCTCACTCCCAGACATACATAGAAATGCTCATTCACGGCAATGCAACAGAAGCCGACGCTTTAGCTCTCGCCACTGCTGTCACAGATACCCTCCCGGCGCCCTCGCCTCCGCTGCTGGACCTCCCTTCAGAGCGCTGCCTGCAGCTGCCACGTGGCAAGTCCCTGTTGGTCGAGAGCCCTGTGGGGAACCCAGCAGAGGAGAACTCTGCAGTGGAGGTGAGTGGTGCGGGTGGTAGTGGGGCAGGTGGGGAGTGGGGAAGGTAGGAGTGGGCTGGGTGGGAGTGAGGGGCAGGTGGGAGTGGGGCATGTGGGGGTGGGCATGTCTCACATAATTTTCTGGTGCATTGTTTTGTCCAGAAGATTATGTGTGAAATAGATACTCCAGGCTGAGAAGGGGGTGAACCTGAGAGGGGGGCGAACCTGAGAGGGGGGCGAACCTGAGAGGGGGGCGAACCTGAGAAGGCCTGCAAAAATCTGAGTGCGTTCCGTGTGTGCAGTCCTCACCATCCACTCCCCATTCCCCATCCCGCATCCCCTGTCGCCCATCCATCCCTTTTGCCTCACCCTCCGTCCCCCAACCATCAGGTGTACTACCAGGCCTGCCAGGACCAGGGCCGGGCGTCCATCCGAGACCGAGCACTCGTGGGCCTCCTTGAGCAGGTGAGGGGACTCCGCGAGAAGTGTCTGAGAGGTTGTTTGAGGAATGCATCAGCAAGCCTTGGGTGGACGAAAGTACTAGCAAGCCTGCCAGGACCAAGGCCGGGCGTCGATTCCAGACCGAGCATTGAGACCGAGCAGTGGTGGTTCTACTCGAGCAGGTGAGGAGGAGGAAATTGCTCATTTGTTTATAGGCCATCTGTGAACGAATTGCTTGATGAGTAGCGGGAGTGTAGAGTGCAGAACAATAAGTTAGTGGAGCCAGTTAGTTCTCTCCATTGCATCCATCTCTTATACATTCCCTTGCGTCTCTCATCTCGCCCTCATCCATCCTCATTGCACCTCTCAGGTGATGTCAGAGCCGCTGTGTGACACCCTCAGAAGCAAGGAGCAGCAGGGGTATGCATGAGACCTTTGAGAATTCTCAAGAGTCGCTGAGAACCAAGGAGCAGCACCCATGGGTGCTGCGTAGATTTTGACTCGCCGCACCCATGTCCCTCATGTCTTCCTCTCATCCATCCTCATTGCACCTTTCAGGTGATGTCAGAGCCGCTGTTTGACACGCTCAGAACCAAGGAGCAGCACCCATGGGTGCTGCGTAGATTTTGACTCGCCGCACCCATGTCCCTCATCTCTTCCTCTCATCCATCCTCATTGCACCTTTCAGGTGATGTCAGAGCCGCTGTTTGACACGCTCAGAACCAAGGAGCAGCACCCATGGGTACTGCGTAGATTTGGACTCGCCGCACCCATATCCCTCATGTCTCTCTCATGCCTCCTTCATGCACCTTTCAGGTGATGTCAGAGCCGCTGTTTGACACGCTCAGAGCCAAGGAGCAGCACCCATGGGTACTGCGTAGATTTGGACTCGCCGCACCCATATCCCTCATGTCTCTCTCATGCCTCCTTCATGCACCTTTCAGGTGATGTCAGAGCCGCTGTTTGACACGCTAAGGACCAAGGAGCAGCACCCATGGGTACTGCGTAGATTTGGACTCGCCGCACCCATATCCCTCATGTCTCTCTCATGCCTCCTTCATGCACCTTTCAGGTGATGTCAGAGCCGCTGTTTGACACGCTCAGAGCCAAGGAGCAGCACCCATGGGTACTGCGTAGATTTGGACTCGCCGCACCCATATCCCTCATGTCTCTCTCATGCCTCCTTCATGCACCTTTCAGGTGATGTCAGAGCCGCTGTTTGACACGCTAAGGACCAAGGAGCAGCACCCATGGGTACTGCGTAGATTTGGACTCGCCGCACCCATATCCCTCATGTCTCTCTCATGCCTCCTTCATGCACCTTTCAGGTGATGTCAGAGCCGCTGTTTGACACGCTCAGAGCCAAGGAGCAGCACCCATGGGTACTGCGTAGATTTGGACTCGCCGCACCCATATCCCTCATGTCTCTCTCATGCCTCCTTCATGCACCTTTCAGGTCATGTCAGAGCCATTGTTCGACACGCTAAGGACCAAGGAGCAGCTGGGGTACCGCGTGGACTGTGGCACCCGCCTCACTCATGGACTCGCCCACCTCTTGCCCTTCTCTCACCTCTCTCTCGTGTACCTCTCAGGTCATGTCAGAGCCATTGTTCGACACGCTAAGGACCAAGGAGCAGCTGGGGTACCGCGTGGACTGTGTGGCATCGTCCCGCCTCCCTCATGGACTCGCCCACCTCTTGCCCTTCTCTCACCTCTCTCTCGTGTACCTCTCAGGTCATGTCAGAGCCATTGTTCGACACGCTAAGGACCAAGGAGCAGCTGGGGTACCGCGTGGACTGTGGCACCCGCCTCACTCATGGACTCGCCCACCTCTTGCCCTTCTCTCAACTCTCTCTCGTGTACCTCTCAGGTCATGTCAGAGCCATTGTTCGACACGCTAAGGACCAAGGAGCAGCTGGGGTACCGCGTGGACTGTGGCACCCGCCTCACCCACGGCGTCTTTGGCTTCTGCATCCGCGTGCAATCCGCTGATTATGGCCCGGAATACCTACAGCAGCGAGTTGATACCTTCCTCAGGAGCTTCCGAGATAACCTGGTAAGAGCCTGCTGTGGTCACAGCTGTGGCACCCGCCTCACCCACGGCGTCTTTGGCTTCTGCATCCAAGTACAATCCGCTGGATATGGCCCGGAGTTTCTGCAGCAGCGCGTGGACTCGTTTCTCAAGACCTTCCGTGATAACCTGGTAGGTGCTGTTGAGACGACTGTACTTTAAAAGAGAGTGCCGTCTTTGGCTTCTCCCTCCCCTTCTTCCTCACGCATTCTCGCCCTCCCTCCCTTTCCCCAGAGCCCCCTGCCCTAGGCGGATTTCAGGGCACACAGGCCAGCGCTGCAGGTGCTGCAGGTGCTGAAGATGCTCCCTCCCCTTGTTGCTCATGCATTCTCGCCCTTCCTCCCTCCCTCTATGTACTCTAGAGCTGCACAGGGCAGCGCTTCATGTGCTGAAGACCCAACATCTCCTTACCGTCCCTCATCGCTCTCCCTTTTCACCCCACCCCGTCTCCCCCCTCATTCTCCTCCAGAGTGCTTTGCCCGAGGCGGATTATAGGGCGCACAGGGCGGCGCTGCAGGTGCTGAAGATGCGTAAGGACCACACTTTGGGGGATGAGACGCACCGCTACTGGGAGCAGATCTGGGAGGGCAGGTGAGGGTACACGGGAGGGGAGGGTGTGATGGGAGTGGAGGTGGAGGGTGAAGAGATGGTGAGTGACACGTAGTGAGAAGCAGGGGTGGTGACGACAGGAAAGGACCACTCCCTGGGGGATGAGACGCACCGCTACTGGGAGCAGATCTGGGAGGGCAGGTGAGGGCGGGACGGGAGGGTGGGGAGGGTTGCACGAGTGGTGAGTGGCAAACAGTGAGAGGCAGTGCAGGTGCTGAAGATGCGCAAGGACCACACCCTGGGGGATGAGACGCACCGCTACTGGGAGCAGATCTGGGAGGGCAGGTGAGGATGCGTGGGAGGAGAGTGGAGGATACGGGAGTGAAGGTGAGAGGATTTGTGGGAGGAGGAGAGTGGGGCTGCGAGGGTGGAGGTGGGTTGCAAGGGGGTGAGAGGAAGTAGTGAGTTAAGGCAAGGTCCACACCACACAACCCGGGGGATGAGTCCTATTGCTACTAGGAATGGGTTTGGAAGGGCAGGTGAGGGTGGGAGGGAACGTGTAGCCCCGATTTTCCCAATTCTCCCTGATCTCTCCCCCACACTTCCCCACATTTCCCTTATGCTCTCCCACGCTCCCCCCAGACTTGCCCAGTTTGCTCTTTAACTCACGCCAGCTGGAGGCTGTGGCTCTCTGCAACATCACGCTCGCTGAGCTGAGCTGCCCATGTCAACACTTTTACGCCCTTCCCTCCCCCACTTCCTCTCCCCCCCCCCCCCCCCCAATTGTTGTGACATCTCAGTTCTCTCTTTAACTCGCGCCAGCTGGAGGCTGTGGCACTTTGCAACATCACCCTCGCTGAGCTGTGCGCGTGGTTCGACTGCCACATCAGCATGACAGCTGGCGCCGACAGCGACGGGGGGGACGGTGCTGACAAGGACAGCATTATGGTTGAGAATGGAGAGGCTGGTGCAGGGGAGGTTTATAAGGGGGATGGCAATGGGGAGGGCGGAGGGAAGGTGCTTGCGCGGCGTGTGCTGGTGCACGTGTGGGGAGCAGGGAAGTGGAAGGAGAGGAGTGAGGGGAGCGGTGGGGAGGCAGGGGAAGAGGCAGCTGGAAAGGTTGGAAAGGCCGGGAAGAATGGGAAGGATGGGAGGGATGGTGGTAAGGGTGGTGGTACGGATGGTGGTACGGATGGTGGTACGGATGGTGGTACGGGTGGTGGTACGGATGGTGGTACGGATGGTGGTACGGGTGGTGGTACGGGTGGTGGTAAGGGTGGGGAATGGAGGGAAGGGCAGGTGGTGGTTGAGGTGAAGGACATTGAGAAGGAGAAAGCGTCTCTTGAGCTGTTTCCCGTGCTTAAACCCGTGGTGGTGGCGGCATGATCACCAGCACAACGGAAATAGTTTTTTCCTGACCTTCCTAGATACGGTTCTCGTAGATGACACCTCCCTATTTTACTCCATGAAACAGGGGGGCATGAATGAGTGCATGCATGTACAACGCAAGCGTGTGTCCCCTGGAATTCATGAGTAATTCTTACATGTGCTGCACGTAAAAGTGGTGATAGACAATCTGCAGTATTTAGGTGGGCAGCTTGATAACTACAGGTGGGCAGCTTCCCTGTTCTAATTCATTAATAATAGAGGGAAGCTGATGACACAGCCACGCTCTTAGTCGAATCAATAAGTGAACATACTGAATTCAGTTAATATTATGGGCGAAACTGCTGGCACGGCCCCTCTCCTTTCTCCCATCACTGTGATTCGTCATCACTTCTGCGAATAACCCCCCGCCACCAACGAATCACGATCTCACAATTTCCTCACGGCATTCTGCACAAAGAGCAGCTCAGATAGCACCTCCCCCATGTGCGGCCGATCGCGGCCAGTGGGGGCGGTGCAGCGCAGAGCCAGCTGCAGCAGGCGCCAGGCGGGGACCTTGGGGAGGTTGGAGGGCAGTGCAGGGTCGAGCACTGCTGAGGGATCACTGTCGTGCTTCCGGAGCAATGCAGAGACCTGCATGGGGGGCGTTGAGGGAGGGATGGAGAATGAAAAGGAGGGAAGTGAGTCGACTCAGAGCAAGCAGATCAAGCTATAGCAGGCGCCAGGCGGGGGCAGGTTGGAGGGCAGCAAGGGGTCGAGCACTGCTGAGGGATCGCTGTCGTGCTTCCTCAGCAATGCTGACACCTGCAGGGGAAGGATACGGCCATAGAAATGGGGAAGGAGAACACAATGGTGGGAGATTGGGGAGGGCAGGTGGGGGAGACGGTGGCAGAGGGAGGAAAAGGGGAAGGTTGGTCACAGATGGTCACAGATGGTCACAGATGGTCACAGATGGTCACAGATGGTTACTAATGACCACATTACATGGGTAGTGTACTTACCTGGCTACAACATCACAGGAATGTGTTACCCAGTAACCAAATGTTCACTTCCTTGGTAACCTGATGCGTGATTTTTGGCAAGTACACTAAACTACCCAGTAACAAATCTCTTCCCAATTACCAGGTCGCGGATGCGTGGAGGTCCCGAGGTGCTGGTCCTCTATCCTGCTAAGCCAGTGTAATTACTGTGTAGCAGTAGTACTGTATAACTACATTACCTGGTAACCAATCTACACTGCATTACCAGGTCGCGGATGTGTGTGGAGGTCCCGAGGTGCTGGTCCTCGACCTGAGGTGGCAGGCCTTTGCAGTGGTAACTACACTACCCAGAAACCATTAATCACTCTCCTCCCCATTACCAGGTCGCGGATGTGAGTGGAGGTCCCAAGGTGCTAATCCCCTATCTTGTCAAGCCTTTGCAGGAGTACTGTGCAATTACGCAACCCGGTAACCACTCTCCTCCCCATTACCAGGTCGCGGATGTGCGTGGAGGTCCCGAGATGCTGGTCCTCGATCTGAGGTGGCAGGCCCGTGGCTGTCTCCAATATGACAATCCCAAGGCTGTACACGTCGCACTTTGAGTTGAGCACCCCCGTTGATGAATATTCTGGACACACATAACCCTGGTGGGGTGGAATTGGCCGGGGGATTGGGAGGGAGAAGCGAAAAAAGAGAGTTCAACCATCAACACGACAATCCCAAGGCTGTACACGTCGCACTTGGGAGTTGAGCACTCCAGTCGATGAATATTCTGGGCACACGTAGCCCTGGTGGGTTGGGATGGGTTGGGGTGGGTTGGGGTGGGTAGGGAGATGGGGAAGGAGAAGAGCAAAAGAGAGTTCAACGAGCGACAGGACAATCCCAAGGCTGTACAAAATCGCACAACACGACAATCGCAGCACTCCAATCAATAAATTCTCTGGGCAAACATAACCCTGGTGGGTGGGGGTTGATGGGAGAATGGGAAGGTAAAGAGGGGCCAAAAATTTCGACACAACAATCCCAGGGCTGTACACGTCGCACTTGGAAAATAATCGCTTCTTCCACTCACCACAGATCCGTTCACTCTGACGATCGTCGAGGCTGGAGTGTGCACCAACGCCTCTCGCACAAACTCTCTCTTGTAGGCACTTCAAAGGTACAATCTGCACACTCACCACAGATCCCTTCACTCTGACGATTGTTGAAGCAGGCGTGTGCACCGAAGACTCCCGTACGAACTCACTCAGCCCGAAATCCGACAGCAGACCCTCCCACGACGCAGCAATGAGAATATTCTCCGGCTTCACATCCGAATGAACAATCGGCACCTCCAACCCCCCGTGCAAATACTCCAACCCCCTCGCCGCCCCCACCAGCACATCAATCCTACGCCCCCAGTCCCTCAACCCGCCCTGCTCTTTTAGCCCGCCGTGGAGATTATCGAATAGGGACCCGTTTGGAGCGTAGGTGTAGACGAGCATGAGCTCTTGCGCTTCCCTGCAGAAGCCTATAAGGGGTACGAGGTTCGGGTGGCTTATAGAAGAGAGCACTTTGATCTCGTTTATGAATGTTGAGAGGGAGAAGTCGGAGCGGAGGGCTGCTTCTCGCACGCGCTTCACAGCCACTGGCGTCCCTTGGGACGAGTCAAACGGTGCTTCTTTCATTGTCGAAGGGGCAGTGGTGGAGGAGCCATCAGTTTGGATACCAGCAACAGCAGCACCAGCAGCAGGAGAGGAATCCGTCTCAGCAGCATCAGCAGCAGCATCAGCAGCAGCAGCGACAGCATCAGTAGCAGCACCACCACTGCCTAGAGTGCCATGCGGCTTTTTTTCAACCTGCCCGTTCGCCTGCCCTTTTTCCTTCCCCGCAGCGGCTGATTCTGGGAGCATGCTTTCGTCCAAGTGCCCGAGGTACACGTCAGCAAAGGACCCGTGGCCAATCACGTGCGAGAAATGGTCGGTAGCAGCAATCAAATCGTCATATCGGAAGAAACAGACCCCGTGCACCAGGAACGTCTGTCGGCCGTTGATTCTCTTTGAATCCGACGGACTGATCGTGATCTCCCACTCGTCTCCCTTCATCACCCCTGGGATCTTAAGCGTTGTGAGTGTGACTGTAGAGGGGGGAGAGTTCTTGGGTCTTCCCCAGAGGTTGGATCGCCAGCAGAGGAAGAGGAGGAGGAGGAGGAGGAGGAGGAGCAGGGGAGGTGAAAAGAATGGGGAAGAGGATGGAGGAGGTTTTGGAGGGGGCGGGGGGAGGTGGAGGAGGAACAGTGAGTGGTGGCGCTGTGGGGATGGGAACAAGAAAAGACAAGAGGGAGAGGAAAAGGGGGAGAGAATGAGAGCAGGATAAGGAAAAAAAAAAATGAGATGGGGAGAGAGCAAAAGGGGGAGAGAGAGAAAACGGGAGAGGATGACAAGGGGAGAGCGGCATGAGCCCAACCGGCCCCCTTGCTGTTCGTGTAAGTACATATAAGCACCCGCGCCCAACCAGCCTGAACATGCATGCACACATGCGTGGTTGTGCAAGACTCACGTGGAATTGGGGAGGTGAATCCTTCGAACCGGTACGGCCCATAGCTGACTCCCATGGAGACGTTATGCCGCACGAACCTCATCACCACCGCATTCACAATCGCAGCCGTCCATTTCTGCCCGCCGGGCAGAAAAATCAAAACCTCCAGCAGCTGAGAGCCGTCCCTTTTCGTCCGCACCTGCCGAACCCACGCCTGCCCAGTTTCCCACCCAAACTGCGCTTCCAATCCCCGCTGCAGGTCTGTTGCTAGAGTCTTAGAGAAGAACAGATTCGGTGAGTGCACGAGTCTAAGAAAGACTTTTAGCGCCTTGGCACAGATGCAAGCTGCTGCTACCCTGTAGGCATAATAGCTGGGGTAAGCAGCGGCAGCGGTGGGATCACAGGTGTGCGAGGGACAGAAAGGGTCTGAGGTGAAAACTATATCATCAAGAGAGGCACCGGGAGAAGGGAGGAAGACTGGAGGCTGGATCTTGTCGTTATAGCGGTCGCAGGCGGGAGTGAGGGCGGGGATTGCAAAAGTGAAATTGCAGAAGGGGTTTCCCCAGAGGCGGAGGGAGTTGTTGGAAATGAGGTCTAAGAGGTATTGGGGCGTTTTTCGGCGGATCTTGCCGCCTGTGTCGTCCAGCTCGTTGTTTATAAGGGAGACATAGTGTAGCGCGCCGGAGGCTGCTGAAGCTGAGAGGTCCGGGAGTTGTTTGTCGATGTTATTGTTGTCTGTGTTGCTGGAGGGTGGGAAGGGAAGAGGAGAGGGAGAGGCGGGAGGGAGGGGAGGTTTTTTAAGTCGACTTAAAAAACGTAGCGTAGCACGCCAGAGGCTGCTGCAGCTGAGGGGTCCGGGAGCTGCTTGTCGATGTTGTTGTCTTCTGTGTTGCTGGGGGGAAGGAGGGGGAGCGAGGGAAGGAGAGATGGAGAGAAGAGGAACAGGCGGATGATGACTTCTGAGGCGAGTTTAAAGAAGGTCCGGGAGCTGCTTGTCGACAAGATAACAAACGATATTTGAGGCGCCTCAAACGAGGTCCCGGAGATGTTTGTCAAATGATATTGACGGTGTTGTTGGATGGGGGGGGGGTGTGAGAGACGCAGAGCTCGGGCATGCTCATGAGTGCTATGTTCATGTGCTATGCTGACATGCTGCATTGCACATGTGTTACCTGGTAACCAACTAACAGGATAGCCAATGCTTGAAGATCAGACATGGATTTTGGGAAGTGGCCAAGAACAGGTTGTTGGATAAGTCTAGCTTTGAGGCGCCTCAAAACTTGTATGCTCAAGTGTTACCTGGTAACCAACTTACAGGATAGCCAATGCTTGAAGATCGGACATGGATTCTGGAAAGGAGCCAAGAAACAGGTTGTTGGATAAGTCACTAACGGGGATGGATGCAGGGAAGGGGGTAGGGCCAGGGGATGTGGTGGGAGAGACTGAGGAGTTATGCTCATCTGGTATGCATGGTAACAACTGCTCACACTCTCTCTAGCTAGCTAATGCAGCTAGGTAACCACGATGAGTGGTGCTCTGGTTGCTGCATGTGCATGTGGCATGTGCAAGTGGCTTGTGCATGTGGAATATGCATGTGGCAGGCGCGTGTGTGAAACGGCAAGCAAGGCACACGGACTCACACACACATGAACTCACACATGGCGCAGATTTCTCAGAGAAGCTCCCAAGGCGTCTTGCACATTGTACAAAATCTCGTTGTCACTCACATCACTGCGGACAAGACAGGACAGGATAGGATAGGATAGGATAGGATAGAATAGGATAGGGAGAAATATGTGTGTTTCCAAGGCACCTCCCATCCCACCCATCAGCTCCCACCCAATGCGTCTTGCACATTGTCGCTCACATCACTGCCAGGCGAGAAGAAGAAGAAGAAGAAGCAACAGGGATCGATCTTAAGACCCGAGAATCCCAAATTCAAGAATCTTAAGACCCGAGAATCCCAAATTCAAGAATCTTAAGACCCGAGAATCCCAAATTCAAGAATCTTAAGACCCGAGAATCCCAAATTCAAGAATCTTAAGACCCGAGAATCCCAAATTCAAGAATCTTAAGACCCGAGAATCCCAAATTCAAGAATCTTAAGACCCGAGAATCCCAACATGGGAGGGACGGGAGGACGGGGGGAGGGAAAGGTGCTCACATCTTTTGGAGGTTGATGAGGAGTGACGTGTTGAACAGGGCGTTCCCCACCTGACAGCGCGACAGAGAGCTGCAAGCACGGAGGGGGGACGAGAAGACGAAGGGGCGGGATGTGGGGGGTGAGTGGGTGGGGAGTAGGGAAGAGCAGGCGGTGGGGAGAGAAGGGAAGTGGAGAGGGGGGGAGTGGGGAAGTGAGGGGAGTGTCGAAGATGTGGAAGAGAGGAATCGCCTCAGATGTTCACAAGCGGACATCCCCTACTAGCACCCCTACTACAGCAGAGGTGACTGAGTACCACCCACCCAATTCTCACGAGGTTACCACACACTCTCACATGGTGACACGGTTACCACACACTCTCACATGGTGACACGGTTACCACACACTCTCACATGGTGACACGGTTACCACACACACTCACATGGTGACACGGTTACCACACACACTCACATGGTGACAAGGTTACCACACACACTCACATGGTGACGAGGTTACCACACACACTCACATGGTGACAAGGTTGGTGAGAGCCGAGAATCCAGCAGGGAGAGACCCACCGATGGGATTGTTGTCCAACACCCTGTGCACATGGTAACCGCATGCATGCACGAAAGTGTGGCCACATGAGCTATGAGTATGGGAGCATCCGTGGTAACTGCATGCAACAACGTGGTGTACATCCGTTGTCGTCTTACTCATGGGTACACTGAGCATCCAGTGTAACCGATTTGTGTTTCTTTGTTTGTTAAATTGTACTTTTGCGCTCGTGTACTCAGATACCACATACACCATTTGTGTTCTATGGCGTCTCTGTGATAAGTGCACTCTCGAAGTCCGTGTACAGTGTTTGAAGGTTGGAGAGGGAGGAGAGGCGCTCAGAAAGTGTGTTGCCGATCCGGTTGTGATCCAACACTCTGTTGCCATGGGGAGAGGATAGGTGTGATGATAGCACGACGTGATGTGATAATGTTGTGGTGTGATGATGTCACGCGATTGTGCCACTGATATGGGAGGTGGCGTTACAAATAGGATTACGTTACACTACAAGACATGAAGAAGAAAAGGCAAACAAACAAGCAATTCCCGCGCCCCCCGCTCCGCCCCCCCCTTCACCCCCCAAAAGAAAAAGGGTACAGTGTACATACAGCGTGCGGAGGTTGGGAAGAAAGCCTAGCTTTCCTGGCAGAATGGAAAAGCGGTTCCAACCGAGCAGCCTGCACGGGTGCATTGGGAAAGGGAGAGGAGAAAGAGGAGCGTGTGCATGTGTGCAACAGACGAGGTGGAGAGGCGTGAGCATGTGTGCCTGCCATGAAGGGAGAGGTGTGTGCATATGTGTGTCAGTCAATGTGCCGCTTAACCAAACATTTATGCTTCCGCTTCCCATCCCCCATATTTTTTCCTCAATACACTCACAGGTTCTTGAGCGACGTAAGGCGAGGGAAGAACGAGACACCACCCTCCAGCTCATTATCCGACAAATCAACGTGCTGTAGGCTCAGCAGCCCTCAGGATTCCTCCGAGCCTTCCCCTCTTCCCTCACATTCACAGGTGCTTGAGGGAGGTAAGTCTAGGAAAGAACGCGACACCTCCCTCCAGTCCATAATCAGACAAATCAACGTGCTCCAGGCTCAGCAGCCCTCGGGATTCCTCCCAGCCTTCCTCTCTTCCCTCACACTCACAGGTGCTTGAGCGACGCCAGGCGAGGGAAGAACGAGACACCACCCTCCAGCTCATTATCCGACAAATCAACATGCTCCAGGCTGATCAGCCCTCGGGACTCCTCCCCCAGCAGCGGCCCTTGCAGGCGGTTGGAGTCTAGCAGCAGCACTTGCAGCGCGGAGAGAGCACCGTACACAGCAGGGATGCGGCCCGTTAAGGAGCAGTTGCGCAGGCTACTGTTAGGGTTCAAGGGGGGAGAGGATGGGGAGAAGGGCATGGCTTGCAGGCGGTTGGAGTCTAGAAGCAGCACTTGCAGCGCAGAGAGAGCACCGTACACAGCAGGGATGCGGCCAGAGAGAGAACAGTTGCGCAGGCTACTGCTTTGGGGAGAGGGAAGGGAAGAGATACGGGTGGGAGGGAGGTGCTCAGGGAAGCAGCGAGGGAAGGGAGGGGCCTTGTTTGTATCTTGCAGGCGGTTGGAGTCAAGAAGCAGCACTTGCAGCGCGGAGAGAGCACCAAACACAGCAGGGATGCGCCCAGAGAGAGAGCAGTTCCTCAGGCTACTGCTTTGGGGTAAGGTGGGGGAAGAGAGCGAGACAAAGAGAGGTGTTGAGAGGAGTAGTGAGGGACGGAAAGGGCATGGTCTGGCTTGCAGGCGGTTGGAGTAAAGCAGCAGCACTTGCACCGTGGAGAGAGCACCGCACACAGCAGGGAAGCGACCCGTTAGGGAGCAGTTGCGCAGGCTACTGCCTTGGGGTAAAGAGGGGAGAGAGACGGGTGGGAGGGAGGTCCTCAAAGAAGTAGCGAGGGAAGGGAGGGGCATGGCCTGGCTTGCAGGCGGTTGGAGTCGAGCAGCAGCACTTGCAGCGCAGAGAGAGCACCAAACACAGCAGGGGCGGAGAGAGGGAAAATGGGAAAAGGAGCGCCTTGCTTGAAGGCTATTGGAGGAACCTTGTCGGTTTGAAACGCGAGTACCCTATATCGACTTAGAAGTGAGGTACTTGGTACTTACAGCACTTGGAGTTGCGAGAGTGAAGAGAGGGCACTGGGCAGGGTGCCTCTGATGCCATTGTTGTTCATCAGGTCCCTGTAATAATGGGCACGAATAGGAACAGGGATCACGGCACAGATAGTTAAGGAAATAGACCGTTCATGGACCAGACCAGATTCTAGCAGATATGCTTATAGCGTGGATGCTAATTCAGTTCAGACCTGCATAGCACAACCAGGTGTGAAGGAAAGGTGTGAGAGGGAATGAAGTGTGTGGCAGGGATTGAGGAAAAGGAATGTGGGAGGGAGGAGACACAGAATTGTGTGAGAGAAAAAGGGCGTACATAATGGTGTGTAAGAGGGAGTGGAAGAGAATGTGTGTGTGAGGGAGGGATGACGTACAGGAAGGTGAGGCAGGAAAGTCTTCCCAGGTCGGGTAGGAGCGAGCCTTCAAGTCCCATCCCTGGCAGCATGCTGTGTGCACGGAGGGAGAGGTAGGGAGGGAAAGGGGAAGGAGAGGAGAGGGAGCGGATGGGATGGGCTGAGATTCGATGCAAGAGCACATTTCCTATGGTACACTCCCTCCTTCATTACAGCGCAATGAATTGTTAAGAGCACATTCCTCAAAGCTCACCACGCCCACCCACCATACCCACACGGACTGGACTCGTTAAGAGCACACCCCTTACAGTGCAGAGACTCTCGTCTCGTTAAACTCGTCCTTTGAGCAGCTCACCACGCCCCACCACCCATCCGCGCACGGATCCCCCCCCAACGCCCACGAGCGCAGCTGGGGGGGATTCCCCCACTCCGCCTTCTGCTGAAGCAGCGCCGCCACTGGGAAGAGAAGGGGAAGAATGGGGGAGACGGGGAAGCGGTTAAGGGAAGGGTCGAGGGGAAAGGGACAAAGAGGGACACGCGAGCGGAAGGAAACGGGGGGGGAGAGGGGAGAAGAGAGGAGTGACGGCCAAATAGGGAGAGGGGGCGGAAGGGGAGGGGGGAGGGGGGCGTGGGGAGGGGGAGGGGAGGAGAGGGTGAACATCCGCGGGGGAGGTGAAGATTTGCGGCAAAAGAAGAAGAATTCAGGCGTGCATCTTTAAACAGATCCCGAGGCTTAGATGTCAAGGTAAACGAGAAAGTACGCCGAACCTTCGTTCTGATCAGTGGCGGCTAGGCATGAGTCGAGCGAGAATAAGCACGCGATGCACGACAGCATGAGAAGGAGCCAATGCCAGCCCCCCACGACTAACGCGACGCTTCGACGCCGGCGTAACATGGTAATCAGTGGGCGGAGGATCAGCGCATGGAATGTAGCGATTGCGAAGTTCTGATCGGTCGACACACGCCGCTGCTGTGACCTATTCGCTGACCTAGATGCGGGTTAGCGCTCCCTTTGAACTGCTGCTACCAGGCAGAGCAACGAACTCCGTTCTGCGAGAAATCGAGTACGCCCTTTGATTTCGTAAAGATGTAACGTTCACAGCAAATGACAGTGCCTCAGGGATTACCACGCTGCATTAAACGCTTCACACGCGCCTCAGAGAAACAAATCAACAAGATCGCAGAGAAGCAAGCTCTCATTTCTGCTCTACTTCCGCCGTGATCCACCGGATCTCAACTCAATCCACCCGCTGAATCGTTTCCGTGGATTAGGAAGGTCGGAAAGAACCGAAGCTAGCTTCTAAAATTCCAGGGATTGACGAGTTTGTGAAGCGAGTTGATGAGATGAGGTCCGATGCAGTGCACAGCTTTTGGGGTGATGTCGGCAAACCAAAGGGAGGTGGAGGGATGAACGCGTTTCGTTGTTCCCCGAATCCCACATGCGTGAAACCATGGCGGACAAACGAGTCTAGTTGTTGACCAGTGTGGGTCTGATCCCTAACAGCGAATGCGTCTCTAAAAGTACCGGATACATATATTCATAATCTGGTGTACGTTACACGAGTAGTGATTGTCATGTAATCGTACCCAATGGCATTTATTCTTATACCAGTGGTTTTCTAGTTGCTCGTGATGTAGTGAATAGTTTATTATTGATTCTATCGTAATTTAGTGACGGATATAAATATTAAACCATGTAAAGGAAATTATAGCATCATGCTTCCTTCCTGAAGCATTTGGCATAAAAGCACGTCACCTCTCATGCACAATTTAGCAATAGAGGTATTGTTAGTCGTACTGTGGATGGATGTGTCTACAGTTTATCACAACAACAACCTCGTTTAGGCAGTCACCTTGGTCAAACAGGCTCCACGCTGGTCGGGCTGCTGTCAGCACGGACTCGGCAAGGAACCCGCGAATGTCGAGAAACGAAGACCTCCCGCGAAAGTGCAGCGGGACAAGTGTGCGTGGATTTTTTCGTCACACTCTGTTCAGCATCAGAATTGTTTCGCGAACTTCCACAGTTTCGCATGCTCCCTTTCTGACCCAATCGCTGCGCAGACTTCGTTGACCTGGCATGGTGCACTGACGCAGGCTCTGGCAACTCCGCTGTCATTCCACGCCCGCTTTCCTTGCAGGGAAGTCGCGCACCTCCTTCCGCCCAGGATAGCGCAACCAAATGCAACCAGGCGCCCGAACGCCAACAATCTGTTACCGCCCCACCCCCTTCCCCCCATTCCCCCCACCATTTCTTCCTCCCCCTCCCCTCTTCCCCCTCCGCTTCCTGAATCCCATCATCAGAAATGCTCACTGATCTGAGCTCACCACCTCCTCCCATTTCTCTCCTTGCTGTTCTGCTTTTCTGCACGCCTTTCCGTAGTCCTGCTAGTTCTGTCAAAACTTCAAGCACAGAACACGCGATTCATAGTAGCGCGCTTGGCCCTCAGCTTGAACTTAAGAATAAGTCGTAGTCTATTATCTTATTAGTGATATCATGAAACCTCTGAACCTCTCTCTAGGGTGGGGGAAATCCGCCATGTTAGGGTTTCTATGCCTCATTTTGCTGCTCCCAGAGTCGCCAACCAGGACAGCAGCAGCTGCTGCGGCTGGAGCTGGTGGAGGGTTTGTCCGTACCGTAGGTCCGTACGGACTTGCGAAGTTTGCGAAGAGAGGTCGCTCTCTCCAGCGTTACCCTGTTCACGTTGCGAGAGCTGGCGAGGAAAGCGCGGGGGACCAGAACCAGGCGAAACCAGGTTACAAAGATGTCGCTGATTCTGTCGCAGTGGGGAGGAGCCCGGTTGGAACGCCACGCAAGATTCGCGTGCTGACGTGGAACCACGCAAGAGACAATTCTCCTGCAGCGACCCCGACGACTCTCGTGTCGCACTCGCGAACGAGGCGACAGATGCGACAGCGACAGACGTCGCACGCGGACGCATATGACGAGCCAGAGGTATACGAACTCGGCGCCCCGAGCTGGGCGACTGGCGGGCGACATCGCCGCGGCGACAGCTGGGCGACAACAAGTGGGCGACACCGTCGCAGCAGCCGCTGGCCTGTCGCAGGACCCTCCTACTATCCGTCGCAGCAGGCATTTTCAGCCTCCGGAAGGCCGAAATATAGCACTCGGGTGTCTAGGCCTCAGTCTCAATACAGCGGTGTGTCGCGGAATCATAAAAACGGACCGCGAAGTCACAATATCGCGTACCCGTGGGGTCCATATGACGTGGTGGAGTGGCACGGGAGCAATGAAGAATATTCCAACTCCAATCCGCACCCAGCCAAGCTCCGTGCAATAGGTCCGTCGGATACGGATATGGTTTATGAGATTGAGCCAGCTTCGGCTTGGAGCTTTGCCGAGCCTGGGAGCGAGCCTCGGTACCGGCAGCAGCAGCCGCGGCATCACAACGGCGTCCAGGTTGGTGTTGGTCCAGGCTTGGTGAAGGAGGCAGCTGAACCAGCTGATGGTGAATATGAAGACGCGGGTTCGAATCCTGACTTCTCCACTCCCAGCGCATATCCATCAAGTCTTCGTGCGCCTCACTATCGAACAGTAGACGGCCCGATCCATGCCGATTTTAGCACTCCAGGTGTTTCATATGATGGAACTGAAGAGAGAGATGGGAGTGAGGAGGGTGATGGGAGTGAAGAGGGGGAGGGGAGTGAGGAGAGAGATGGAAGCGAGGAGGGAGGTGGGAGTGAGGAGAGGGATGAGAGTGAGGAGGGGGGAGGGAGTGAGGAGGGTGACGCATCTGGGATAACGGCAATGGCTCAAACTGTTTCTGACACATCAGAGGAGACCGGTCCTGTGCCAGAGGCAGTGGGTGAGGCTGGGTCAATAGCCCGGCCAGCAGACGGCGTTAGTTCGGTTCCCGGAGGAACTGTGGGGACAGGAGCAGGAGCAGGGCCAGAGGGAAAGACAGGAGCAGGGGGGCGGGCAGGGGTAGGGGCAGGAGCAGGGGTGGGAGCGGGGGAAGGGACAGGGGCAGGAGCAGCGGCAGGGGCAGGAACAGGAGCAGAGCCTGAGAGGGCTAAGAAGGTGAGTGTGGACACAGTGGAAGAGGCACGGATCAAACTCAAGGGAATTGATGGAGGGGGGGATGGAGCGAGGGCTCAGATGAAACGTGTTGAGGCCAGTGCCGCTGGCGTAACAAACCAAGGCACTGGCGCTGGTGATGGCAATGGTGGTGGCGCTGCTGCTGCTGGCAATGGTGGGGGTACGGGAAAGGAGGGAGGGGTGGAGTGGGCCCACGGGTTGAAAGGCACGAGCATGTATGTGGTGAAAGAGGGAGACACATGCGAGGGGCTCGCTTACAAGCTGTTTCGAGGGTCGGGTGAAATGATGCGGGAGCTGAACCACGGTTATGTGTGCTCTGATGCCACGCTGAAACCCAACATGCAGCTGTTCGTGCCGTGACATAAGAGGGGGAGGCTGAGGGGGGTGGGGGGTGGGGAGCAGGGTCGAGTGAAATGATGCGGGAGCTGAACCACGGGTATGTGTGCTCTGATGCCACACTCGCGCCAAACATGCAGCTGTTCATGCCGTGACATAAGAGGGGGAGGCTGAGGGGGAGGGGGAGCAGGGTCATCTGAAATGATGCATGAGCTGAACCACGGGTATGTGTGCTCTGATGCCACTCTCGCGCCCAACATGCATCTGTTCGTGCCGTGAGGGCCTGTGCCATGGTGCTGCCGGGGAGTGGGGGGAGGGTCGCTTGAAATTATGCGTGAGCTGAACCATGGGTATGTGTGCTCTGATGCCACTCTGAAACCCAACATGCAGCTGTTTGTGCCGTGAGGGGCGAGAGGGGCGGCTGGGGGGCAGGGAGGGTAAAGAAGGGAGTTGGGGAGGGGATGGGGTTGCAGGAGGGAAACATGTGTGAGGGGCTTGCTTACAGGACGTTTCGAGGGTCGCTTGAAGTAATGCATGAGCTCAACCATGTGTATGTGTGCTTCGATGCCACTCTCACGCCCAACATGCATCTGTTTGTGCCATGAGCGCCTGTGCCATGGAGCTGCCCAACCATGGGTTTGTCTGGGGGGCTCTTCCGCGAGTCGGCTGCTGTGAGATGGGGGGATGGAAGTAGGGGAGTGCGTGAACAGGGGTTGCGGACAGGGAGGAGATTGGAGAGGCGGGATGTAGGAGGGACCATGTGGAGAGACAGCTAGCAGAGAAAAGGAAGATGGTTGATTGGCGCTGGAAAGTGGTAGATTTGTCGCTGCCTGGATTTGAATAAGGTCCTCTTATATTCTGTGCTGTGTACTTCTTGTTTGTATGCTGGATTGATTCCTTGCACGCTGCATTAGAGAGAGGCATTGATTTTAAGAAAGGTTGTGCTAATATCACGCGGAAGAGAGAGACACATGACCGAATGTCAATCTATCAATCCACGAGAGGTAGTGGATAGCTTCTAAACCTACTATCATTCCCCAGGCTCACACATACTGCATCCGTCCCCGCGAATTCTTCGAACGCGCGCTTTACGTTGCTCTATCGCTGCATTGCCCCTATTTTCCCCATTATCCGGTTCGTCCTTCATTACCTCACGGCTTGAAGTCTGTCTTGGCAGTAGTAGCCTTGGTTTTCGCCTGATTAATAAGGTCCAACGCGTCTTTGTACGTCACTTTGTTAAGCATCACCGACACGCCGTTAAGCGTCGCGACGGAGTTGTCAATCTGCGTCGTCACAAGCGCGCGCTGCCCCTGGTTGATTAGTATCACCGCGTTCTGAAGAGCCTGCTCGGTGCTCTTCAGATTCGCGTAGTACTGGTTTTTGGGCGTCAGAAGGTCGGCCGCGTCCGCCGTTAAAGTTGCCGCCGCCTGGAGATTCGCGATGACAGACACGTCAGCAGGGTTGACGGAACCCTTTGACGGCGTCGACGGAGTTGACGGGGTTGACGGAGTAGTCGGCTTTGGCGTGGACGGAGTGGGTGTTGTCGGTTTCGGAGATTTCGGAGGAGACGGTGACGGAGACTTCTTAGGCGGTACAGGAGAGGGAGATGGCGATTTCTTGGGAGGCGATTTGTTCGGCGACTTCGGCGACTTGGGTGGTTTTGGTGGCGAAGGCGACTTGGATTTTTTCGCTGCATCCCTCGCAGCTTTCGCCTCTTTACGCTCTTCCTGCTCTTCCTTCTTCTTATCCCTCGCTGCCTGCATGGCCGCATGCCGCTTCTGCTGCTCCTCCTTCTGCGCCTTCTTCGCAGCCATTCGCGCGGCTTTGTGTTCAGGCGTTTCCGTCGCCAAAGTCGTTGCGAGTTGTAACATTCGTCGCGGAATGACAAGGCCCTCCCAGTCCGGCTCGTCGTCGCGATGGCGTGCGACTGGTTTCGCCGAACCTCTAAACATCGCGGACCAGTCGTGTCGCAGTTGAAGGCCTCGTGCCGAAGCTTGCGAGGTGAGGATGGCAAGGAGGAGGGAGAGTAAGGGGAGCGGAGCGGCCAAGACGGCCACTTTACGGATTCCCATGATGCTCAGCTGTTGTCGTGGCAATTCGATAACGCACGGCAGGTGAACGAATAACAAAGGACCAGCGAACTGAAAGTCAAAAGTTGGACTCGATGACGGATTCGCAAAGACACAGGCTTCCAGGAACAACACTACGCTGGATTCCTATCATTCCCCAGCGCTTTTCAATGATCTGGTCTAGGGGAGAGATGAAGGGAGGGTGGAAGAGGAAGAGAGCGCGCTACCGCATTGGGAAATTTCTTGGGCATTGGGAAATCGAAGCGCACTAACACGGACCGCGCGAGGGATGTGTGCGAACAAATTCTCGCGCTGCCAACGATAAGCACAATGGCGAGTGGCGACGTCGCACAAGCGTCGGTCTAGTCGGTGTTGCGATTTTACCACACGTCTGTACGACGATCTTCGGTGAAATTTCGGGTGGACCAATCGTAAATGCGGGCAGGGGCACTGGCACGAGTGATTTTGCTCGTTTTCCCGCTTTTGGAAATCGAAAACGTTTGTACAGCTGGTGCTGTCACACAGAGCTTGGCGCGAGAGCGAAACATTTGATGAAATCCGCCACATCCTAGACGAGATTGTACGTACACCGCATTTGGTTGATACGGGAACGACGTAGATTTGTGTGTCACATCACGCATCATGAGTATAAACCGACAAATTTGAAATACAAAGCCTCGATACTTCATACTGCAATTTCATCACCTCCTGGTCCAAGTTACAAAGCCTCAATACTTCACCAACTGTGCTGTCACATTTTGTTATTCTACCTTGGCCCATAAGGTCCCGAAGTATAAAGGAGACAGGAATGACATCTTTGTGCTTCTTTTGGACCTCCAGCTTTGATTTTAACATCTCACCAAACCTGCTGCGCTGTAACAACCCAACGATCTTAGAGCGCCCCTGAAGGAAAGCACGAAAGTTGTTATTTTGAAGGGAGATTAATAAATGGAAAAGTGGACGACAAATTTGAACAAATCGAACGAGTGCAACAAAAGCAGCCTCACCTTGGTAAGATGCTGAGTAAATGAGCCAATATTAGGAAGCGAGAGCCAGTACGAATCCACATGTGCCACCTGTGCAACCTGTTGGTAGGAGAACAAGAGGCAAGGCAACGAGCTACTCAACAGAGGGTATCAAGTTAGTAGCAGAAACAAGCTTTTGAGAATCTTGACATAAGCGTACTACTAAGTTTGCAGCAGAAGCAAGCTGCGGTGTATTTTGAGCTTCTCTACTTGAGTGAATACCAAGACGGGTAGCAAGAGAGGAGGCGTGCAACACAGGGAAATTTAGAAGCGGAGGAGGAGCAGGTGCATACCAGCAGCCCTGCTTGCACAAGAATGCAGACGTGTCTGTCTGTGATGCTTGATTTGCCAGCATTCGATAGAAGGTGTTTCTGTAAATAGAGCAGATACAGAAGCATGATGAGCACATGTAAAATTGAATATAGAATATCAACTAGAGTACCTGTTCCTTGTTTACGCACCAGCTGTTGCCTTGATATGCCATGCTCCGTACACTGTGGAAGCACCCGGTCTTTGAACCAATCAAACACCGCCACCTGGCTGCTCTCAGTTCCACCACTACCGCAATTGCGCCTGTGCTTGCCATTCTCCTGCCTGTCCTCTCTGCTGCTAAACTTGGTACCGTCACTGCTGTTACCCTCTCTGCTGCTGGACTTGGTACCGCCATAGCTGTTACCCTCTCTGCTGCTGGACTTGGTGCCGTCACCGCTGTTGCCCTTTCTGCTGCTGCTAGCACCCTTCTGTGCTGGAAGAGGCGAGTCACCACCAGCACTTCTGCACGTGTGCCGAAAAAACTGTTGCTTGGCAGCCTCAACCTGCAAAGGGTGAAGATGATGGATGATGAAGACGAGGATGATGAAACACACACAGGGAATAAATTTATAGTTAAATGAGTCTTAACCTTTTTTTTTTTGTTTGTTTTCATTTCACAACAGCCAACCAAGTGTTTTGACAGTGACATTGAATTTTCTGGCAAGAAACACATCAGCGATGCTCTCACCACTTGGTTATAGTCCTGAGACAGCAGCACAGCAATGTCGGTTCGAGATGACATAAGGCGAATCACGCGCACCGACCCACTCCTCTGAAGCATCTGCGGTTGGGACCAATCAACTATGGATTGTGAGGCACGTGCTCCTTACTGGTCTGTGCCAGCACGGCTTAGGGTTAACTTAAAATGACACGAGGGAATCAACTACACTTGCAGATTCCTCTGCAGCATCTGCAACCAGTCTTGGAATGAAATAAGAAGGAAATTCACGAGTTATTATTAGGGGGGGAAAGGGAACGAGGGGAGGGGAATAGGGGAAGACATCAGGGTAGGAGACCAAGGAGGAAAACAGCGACGAGAAGAGGGGTAAAGAGATCAGCCTGGGGAAGTATAACAGGGTAGGGAATATAAGCTTCCTAACCTCGAGCTGTCGGTCCACAGTGGTGCGGTGCGGTACCACGGTGTAGATTTGGGAGAGCAGGGCGAAGGGAGGGAGAGAGGACGCGACCTGCAAGGGGGAGGGGTAAGGAGCAGAGGGGAGACGGCCAGTCAGTCAGTCAAACAGGCTTACAGGTAGATGTGACCTGCAAGGGGGGGGAACGGAGCGGCAAAGGAAAAAGTACGGAGGGGATCGAGGGAAACTGGAAGCTGGTGGTTGTAAGAAAGGAGAATCCCAGTCCCTGAGAGAGCGATGGGGGGAAAGAGGTATGTGGAGAGTGATGGGGGGAACGAGGTATGTGGAGAGTGACGGGGTGAAGGAGGTGCCTTGGAGAGTGATGGGGAGGAGGTATTATGGAAAGTGTTGGGGGAAAGGATGCCTTGGAAAGCGATGTGGGGAAGGAGGTACCTTGGAGAGTGATGTGGGGAAGGAGGCGCGAAGGAAATGAACGGCTGCAAGCGTGTCGCAAGGGAGGTCCGCTGCAGAGAGGGAGAGCGCAAAGCAAAGGCGAGAGGGCGAGAACGAGGGGGAGAAGACGAGGAGGAAAAGACGAGAAGGAGAGAACGCGTGAGCAACAGCCCGATCATAACAACGTGAGTTGACAGATCATGGTGAATCTAAGACCATCGATGATTCATTTTCACCATAGGCTATCGTCTCGCACCAAGAAAGATATACTCTTTCCAACAACCCAGAGTCGTCCGTCAAGGCGCAAATCCTCTAGCTCTCCAAATCTGTCTTTTCCTGAATTCGGATTCGGATCCGTCACCCTCCAAATGACAACCCCAAGGTCGACCGGGAGGCTCGTTACCCACTTACCCGCGATCGCATCCAGGTCGTCCATTTCCGCCTGTGGCGGCGTGGCGTCTTCTCCTCCCGCCAACTGGACCGCCAGTACCTTCCTTCCTCCTACTTTAATTGGCTCAATCGCTTCACTCGCATTATTCGCGCTAATCGCTCCACTTCTCTTCTTCCTGTCGTTTGAGTCCTCGTTAGGCCTGGCGATGACGTTCGAACGATTGCCAATCTCCTCGAAACGGACATCCCTGTATGATTTCGCACAGCCGTCAGCTTCCCGCGAAACGTCAACGTCGCACTTCCGTCGTTGAGGCTCTTGCTGAAAAAAGTAGCGAGATGACGTGCCGCCAGCCTCGTCACCGTCGCGTGAGCGAAAATCCCGGCCTGACGAGTCGGTGTGTACCGAATCCGAATCAGACCTACCGTCGGATAGATCCTCGGGGTCTATAACGAGAACGGCCCGCTTCCGCTTTAACATTGCTGATGGTTTGGTGACTAGAACAATCGAAACAATACGCGTGAAAGAGATGGCAAGCACTAACACTAGCAGCACAGCTAACGCGTGAAAGGGCCAAGTTACTACTATCGTGTTACTGCTGTCTTGTAAAAACTCCCTGAAAGGACCCGAGCTTACCAGCGTCCACTTTTGTAATTCATCAGATGAAGGCGGGGTGAGCTGAAGCCGTCGTGATGGGCACGACAACTGGGAGGGGTGTGGGATTGGTGCAGGCGACTCCCGCGAAGTCGAAGCTGTGGAAATGAAACTGCGTAACTACACATCGTGAAAGTGAGGACACCAGCGTTTGCGATCCAGCCAACACGAAAAAGTCATCTGTGATAGCCAATCATCACCACACTAGGCGTTCGCCGATTGTGGGGATCGAACCCACGGCCACGTGGTTAAAAGCCACGCGCTCTACCGCTGAGCTAAATCGGCACGTTCTTCGAAATAACTTTAAATTACATAAAAAAAAATATTAACCCCAACCTTTTTCTTTTGCGGTCTCCCATTGACACCATGGCGCGTTCAGACGTCGTTCCAGGAGGACGCGCGGGGAAGGCGATGGCAGCCGCTGCTGCCGCCGCGAGTGGCGGCGGTGGCTCGTCCGTCTCGCTGCAGGACGCGGATAAGAAGAGCCATCGCGCAGCGCGGTCAGGGCCGGCAGCGGAGCGCAAGAAGGCGAAGGATAAGAAGAAACGCGGCGTGGACGACGACGCGGAGGAACGCGAGAACCCGCGAGTAAGCACCTAAGCTTCTAGCCAAGAGAGACAACCAAACAGCTCGCAGAATAGGAGGAGCAGAAGCAGGAGATGTGGGGAGTGAGCACCGAAGACGATGAGGAGAAAGGCGGAAACACGCGATGAGGGATTGAGTCCTAGTTGAGGTTTAAGACGGACGGGTATCCAGTTAGTAGCGTAGCCGGGTTTTTAGTGATTCTGGTTGCGCGTTTCCTGCTCTGAACCCTGACCCCTGAGCCCTGGCTTTCCGAAACCCGAAATCCCACACTAGCTTCCTCTGTGTCCCCTCCCGCACTCTCGCCAATCCTGCCAGGCGTTTGCCTTCCGCTCGTTGCGTCGAGCCAAGCTGCAGGTAGCGAGGCGGGCGGGTGGAGCTGCAGCAGCAGCAGAGTCCCCTTCCCCTCCCCTCTCAGTGCGAAACCCTAACCCTCCACGCTCGCTTCCTCCGTGTTCACCCCCTCACCCTTGCCCAACCCTCCCAGGCGTTTGCTTTCAGGTCATCACGCCGAGCCAAGCTGCAGGTAGCGAGGCGGGTGGAGCTGCAGCAGCGGCGCATGCACGCACCCAGCGCTGCTGCCACACGCGCACAGGCACTAGAACCACCACCGTTTGTTGTGCTGGTACAGGGGCCACCCAAGGTGAGTGGTTGCTGCGACATTGGGCATTATGCGTGTGGCTGTAGGCAAGCCCAAGCATGCACGCGCCCAGCGCTGCTGCCACTCGCGCACAGGCACTGGAGCCGCCACCCTTCGTTGTTCTGGTGCAGGGGCCGCCAGTGGCTGCTGTAGTGCTGCATCCATTGAAGCATGTGGTGCATGTGTCAAGGCGTCAGGGCATGCACGAAAATCATCCATCTCCGTCCACTGTGTCCTCTTTCCTCCACGACAGGTCGGCAAGACAACGCTTATTCGTTCGCTGATAAAGCACTACACCAAGCACAACATTCCAGACGTCAAGGGACCTATCACTGTTGTTTCAGGTAGGTTTTCACACCTCTTTTGTCTCAGGTGGGTTGCTAGCACCACTTCTGTTGTCTTGTCTTAGGTGAGGTTCCACCACCATCTCTGTTGTCCCAGGTGAGTCGCCATATCTGTCGTACCCTCTCCCCAGACCTCCTGCGCTTCGCTCCCCTCTTTTCCTTACTCCCCATCCCCTCACAGGCAAGAAGCGCCGTCTCCTGTTCATCGAGTGCAGCGGCAGCGTGCATGCCATGCTGGATGCCCTATCTTCTCCTCCTCACTCTTCCCTCTCTCCCCCCTCACCCCTCACAGGCAAGAAGCGCCGCCTGCTGTTCATCGAGTGCAGCGGCAGCGTGCATGCCATGCTGGATGCGGCCAAGTTCCTCCCTCATTCCCCCTTGCCCCCACTCCCCTCCGCCCCCTCTCCCCCGCCAGGCAAGAAGCGGCGTCTCCTGTTCATCGAGTGCAGCAGCAGCGTTCATGCCATGCTGGATGCGGCCAAGTTCGCAGACCTCGTGCTGCTGCTCATCGATGGTAGCTTCGGATTCGAAATGGTGGGTGTGCCTATATGTCTATACACGTGAGTGTGTGTGTGTGTGTGTGTGTGTGTGTGTGTGTGTGTGTGTGTGTGTGTGTGTGTGTGTGTGTGTGTGTGTGTGTGTGTGTGCCTGTCCGTGTGCTTGCTGTGGTGTGGGTGGTACGAGTGACAGTGCTGTCGTGATGCTCATTGACGGCAGCATGAAATCCGCGTGCATTGAGGCGTCTTTTGAGTGACCCGTGCATCGTGATCCTCAAAATACACCTCAAAATGCATCAGCACAGTCATTCGAAATACACCTCAAAATGCATCAGCACAGTCACTCAAAATACACCTCAATGCACGAGTGACTGTGCTGTCGTGATGCCCACAGGAGACCTTTGAGTTACTGAACATGCTGCAGGTACATGGCTTCCCCAAGGTCATGGGCGTGTTGACGTTTTGCTCCCATACAAACCTAATGCTCTCTGTTGCTTCCGTCACCCGTGCATTTCCACACTCTTCCCCTCCACACAGGAGACCTTTGAGTTCCTGAACATGCTGCAGGTGCACGGCTTCCCCAAGGTCATGGGCGTGCTGACGCACCTGGACGGATTCAGAGACCCGCGCAAGCTCAAGAAGACCAAGAAGACGCTCAAGCACCGCTTCTGGACCGAGATCTACGATGGGGCGAAGTTGTTTTACCTCTCGGGTCTCATCCACGGCAGGTGGGTAACGGGTTTCCCTGGTCTCTGACTCTCTTGGGTTGTGCTTGTGTGTATGCATGTTGTGAGGGGTCACAGCAGCAAGCTCAAGAAGACCAAGAAGAGCCTCAAGCACCGCTTCTGGACGGAGATCTACGACGGCGCGAAACTGCTTTACCTCTCTCGGGGCTTATTCATGGCATGGCAGGTGAGTGAGGGCTGCTCGCGACTCACTTGTGGTGCGTGCGTGTATGTATGTATGCTGAGTCGAATTGGGGAGATCACACCGGGAAGACCAAAACAAGACTGGACCAACCGCTTTTGGATCGAGCTCTACGTCAGGGCTGGTTCATCGTGGGTGACTGAGTGCTGCTCTTGGCTCACTTGTTGTTCTTGCTCCATACCTTTTGCAGGTACCCCAAGCGCGAGGTGCTGAATCTGGCGCGCTTCATCTCAGTGGCCAAGTTCCGGCCGCTGTCATGGCGAACTGCTCACGGTCGAGTGGAAGTGAAGTGAAAGGACTGGTCTGGCTTATCTCTCCATGCCCGCTCTGCTCACTCATCTCCTCTCTTCCTGCACCGTCTCTCCATTCCCTTCCAGGTACCCCAAGAGAGAGGGGCTGAATCTGGCGCGCTTCATCTCAGTTGCCAAGTTCTGCCATCTATCCTGGCGAACAGCCCACGGCTATGCGGTGGCTGATCATGTGAGTGAAGTGAAGTGACTCTCGTTCTCCCCCTATTCCCCCACAGGTACACCAAACGCGAGGTGCTGAATCTGGCTCGGTTTATTTCAGCGGCCAAATTCCGCCCTCTCTCCTGGCGAACAGCTCACGGCTATGTGGTGGCTGATCGGGTGGATGATCTCTCCCCTTCTTGTCCCCCGTTCATTCATACAACCTGCCAGGTACCCCAAGCGCGAGGTGCTGAATCTGGCGCGCTTCATTTCTGTTGCCAAGTTCCGTCCGCCCTCCCGGCGAACAGCTCATGGCTATGTGGTGGCTGATCGTGTGGAGTGAGGTGAAGTGACCCTCGTTCTCCCCCTACGTCCCCCCATTAACTTCCAGGTACCCCAAGAGAGAGGTGCTGAATCTGGCGCGCTTTATCTCAGTTGCCAAGTTCCGCCCGCTGTCGTGGCGAACTGCTCACGGCTATGTGGTGGCCGATCGTGTGGAAGATCTAACGGACACGGAGGAGGTTCGGAGAAACCCTAAGTGCGATCGGACGGTTGCGATTTACGGGTACTTGCGCGGGTGCAATTTGAAGCAGGGCTTTAAGGTGCACATTGCTGGGGTGGGTGATGTGGCGGTGGAGAGTATTACGCAGCTGCCCGACCCCTGCCCGCTGCCCGGGGAGAAAAAGAAGCGGAGTTTGAACGAGCGGGAGAAGCTGCTTTATGCGCCGATGGCTGATATAGGGGATATACTGTACGATAAAGATGCGGTTTATATTAATATTCCGGATCACCAGGTGCAGTATTCTAAGATTGAGGAGAAAGGAAAAGGAGGACGGAAGGAGGAGGATGAGGAGTGGTCAGATGAGGGAGAGGGGGGTGAGGGGGGGAAGAGAGAGGAAGATGATGATGAGGAGGAGGAGGAGGAAGAGGAGGGGGAGGGGAAAGGGAAGGGAGGGAAAGGGAAGGCGGGGGGTGGAAAGCAGAAGGATGAGGGGGAGGAGATGGTGAAAACCTTGCAGGCTGCTGACGTGGCAGTTGATGATAAGCTCAAATCGAGCGCGATCTCGCTGTTCAAATGGACGGCCCCGATTCGAGATGTGAGAGAGGTGGAGGGAGGGAGGGAGGAGGGAGGGAAGGAGGAGGATATGGGTGGGGAGGAGGAGGAGGATGGAGTGGGGAGTGATGAGGATGAGAGTGAAGGAGAAGAGAAGGAGGAGGATGAGGATGAGGGGGAGGAGGGGGAGGAGGGGGAGGAGAAAACAGATCTGAAGGAGGAGAGGAGGAGGGATGCAAAGGGAAGGATGAGGCGTGCTGTGGTGTTTGAAGGAGATGGTGAGGATAATGAGGAGGATGAGGAGGAGGAGGAAGAGGAGGAGGAGGAAGAGGAGGAGGATGATGATGGAGAGGAGGAGGAAGAGGGTTGGGAGCTAGAAGAGGAAGGAAAGGAGGGAGAGGATATGGATGAGGAAGATGATGGGGAGGAGGACGACGAGGAAATGGATGAGGAGGAAGATGAAGAAGAGGAGGAGGAGGAAGAGGAAGAAGAGGAGGGGGAAGATGAAAAAGAGAAGGAAAAAGATGAGGATGAAGCAGAGGAGGATGGTGTGAAAGAGCCAACGAGGGAGCAGCTGGAGAAGTGGGCAGATAGGGAGGCCATGGAGAATGAAGGAACAGATTCTGAGGAAGACGAGGAGGAGGATGGGGATGAGGAGGATGGGGACGGGGAGGAGGTGGAGGACGGTGGAGAGGAGGATGGGGGGAAAATGGTGGGCTCGAGAAAAGATGTTATGCAGGCTGAGACAGGGGCAGCTGCGGTCAAGTGGAAGGAAGGCTTGGCTGCTCGGGCAGCCAAAATGTTTTCGAGAAAGCTGAGCCTGATGGAGCTGGTTTACGGGCAGAAGGGCGGAGGCGGCATGAAAGGAAAAGGAAAAGGTTCTCTTGGTTCCGCTGGTGGTGAGGGAAGTGAGGAGGACGAGGATGAGGAGCAGGAAGAGGAGGAAGAGGAGGAGCTTTTCCGGCCGAGGAGGAAGCAGCAGGACGGGTCTTCCTCCTCTTCCCAAGCTGTCCTCTCAGACGACATAGATGCAGAGGACTGCGTACGAGTGCGTCCAGATGCAGCGAACCTGGCGCAGTGGGATGATCCCCAGGTGGTGGAGTCCCTGAGGGACCGGTTTGTGACTGGGAACTGGTCCAAGGCGGGTGAGAGGCGGCGCAAGGGGGGGGCGAAGGGGAAGAAGGGCGGGGATGGGGAGGGGGTGAGTGATGAGGATGGGGATGGGGAGGAGGATGAGGAGGAAGATGTGTTTGGAGATTTTGAGGATTTGGAAACTGGGGAGAAGTTTGGGCCGGGGGGAGAAGGGGAGGGGGTAGGTGGGGCAGGAGGGGGAGGGAAGATGAGTGAGGAGGAGAAGGAGAAGGCAGAAGCGGAAGAGAGGCGGCTAAAGAAGCTTGCTCTTCGTGCCAATTTTGACTCTAAATATCCTCTCACACGATTTCCTTCTCTCACACGCCCTCTCTCACGCCCTCATACTCTCTACCCCTTTCATTCTCATTGCAGAACCCATGTCATCGTTTGTTGTCATGCACATCTATTTTTTGTTTCAATGGCACTCTCTCCTTTTGTTTTTGAAACATAGCCGTCTTCTCAAATTTTGATTCGCCTCACATGATCATGCTTCTCCTTAACCATCTCCTTTCAACCAACCCCTGCTGTTACGGTCTCCTCCCTCTCCCATCTTCTCTCTCTCCCATATTCCTTCCCTCCCTTCCCTCCCTTCCCCTCCTCCATTCCTCTTGTCCTCTGTTACTCCCCTCTTCTCTTGACTGTGGTGTTTCTCTTTACCTGACATCCAATCACGTTGAGAGGGGAGGAGGACGAGGAAGAGGGAGGGGAGGACGGGGAAGGGAAGGAGGGCGAAGGCCAGAAGTTTCCTGGAAGGGATCCCGAGGAGAAAGACTACATCGATATTGTGAGTGACATTTCACAGTGCCATGCCATGCCATGCGTGACTATATCGAGCAGGGAGCGCTGACCAAAAAGGATATTAGAAAATCGCGATCGTGTGTGACTATATCGAGCAGGGTGGGAGAGTTGCATGCTGCTGCTGCTGCTGACAACTCTCCCTCCCCTTGCTGCCCCTGCCCTTACTATCCCACTTCCGCCCCGTCTGCTGATCCCCTCCTCTCCTCCCTATCGACTGCTCGCTCCTTTCTGTTTGCCTTTCAGCTGAAGGCTGGAGGCGAGGAAGCAGAGGATGGATGCAGCACTGCCTGAGGCTGAGGCCACCCGCGTGGCGATGGAGGGCTTCCCCGTGGATTTTTGAGTCGACTAAAAGATCGGCTTCCCTGTGGGGGCGTACCTGCGCCTGCTGCTGCTTCCTGCTCCACCTGACTGCTGCTTCTTCCTGCCGCCGCTGCAGCTGAACTCTCTCTCCCCCTGCTGCCCCTTGCTGCCCGCTGCCCCTCCCCTCCCCTCCCCTCGCTGTCCGTCTGCCATCCAGCTAAAGGAGCAGCTAGAGGCGAGGAAGCAGAGGACGGAGGCGGCACTGGCTGAGGTGGACGAGGCAACGCGCGTGGCAATGGAGGGCTTCCCCGTGGGGGCGTACCTGCGCCTGCTGTTCCGCGCTCTGCCTGGAGAGTTCATGCTGCACTTTGACCCGAGAGTGCCTGTCCTTGTGGGGGCTGTTCCGCCTACGGAGGAAACGCTGGGGTACCTCAGGGTGAGTGGGATGGTATGTACCAGGGAGAGGGGTGGGGGCATACCTGCGCCTGCTGTTCCGCGCACTGCCTGGGGAATTCATGCTCCACTTTGATCCGCGAATCCCTGTCCTTGTGGGGGCTGTGCCTCCCACAGAGGAAACGCTCGGATATCTGAGGGTGAGTAGGGGGAGCTGGGAGGGACAGTTACAGGAGGTGGGGGCATACCTGCGCCTGCTGTTCCGCGCTCTGCCTGGAGAGTTCATGCTGCACCTTGACTCGCGAGTGCCTGTCCTTGTGGGAGCAGTCCCACCCACGGAGGAAACGCTTGGGTAGCTCAGGGTGAGTGCATGGGACGTGTGAGGGAGACGGGTCGGGTGGGGTGTGCGTGCCTGCGCCTGCTGTTCCGTGCTCTTCCTGGAGAATCCTTGCAACGAGAATGCAACCGGAAGGCAACCAGAAGGCAACCAGAATCCTCACCCCCCTCTCCTTCCGTTCGCCTCCCATCCCCCCAGGTGCGCCTGAAGAAGCATCGGTGGCATCGCAAGGTGCTCAAGACAAGGGACCCGCTCGTTCTATCAGCGGGGTGGCGGCGCTTCCAGTCGGTGCCTGTGTTTGCCATGGAGGACAGCAACGGCCAACACACCCCTTCTTCTGAGACCTCCCCACTTCCCCAACTTCTGCTGCCCTCCCCTACATTTTTCCCCCCAGGTGCGGCTGAAGAAGCACCGGTGGCACCGGAAAGTCCTCAAGACAAGAGACCCCCTGGTCCTGTCCGCAGGGTGGCGGCGCTTCCAGTCCGTGCCCGTGTTTGCCATGGAGGACCGCAACGGCCAACACACACCCCTTCCCCTCCCCTCCCCACCCCTCACCTGCCTGGCCCCAGGTGCGGCTGAAGAAGCATCGGTGGCACAGGAAAGTCCTCAAGACACGTGACCCTCTGGTCCTCTCAGCAGGGTGGAGGCGCTTCCAGTCCGTGCCTGTGTTTGCCATGGAAGACAGCAACGGCCGGCACCGGCTCATCAAGTACACGCCCGAGCACATGCACTGCCTGGCCGTCATGTGGGCGCCGCTGCTGCCTCCCAACACTGGGCTGCTCGCTCTGTCCTCTGGTGCTGCCAGTGGTAGCAGCAAGCAGGTACGTGCTGTGATCTGTGCATGTCAGTGAGATTATAGGCTGATTAAATAGACCCCCGAGCACACATGCACTGCCTGGGCGTCATTCGGGCGCCTCTTCTGCTGCTGAATACGCATTCACTCCCATTTCTCCGCATTCTACACCATGCTCTCAGGCGTCCTTCCGCATCAGCGCCACGGGCGTGGTGTTGGAGCAGCAGCAGTCGGCTCAGGTGGTGAAGAAGCTGAAGCTGGTGGGCACTCCCGTGAAGATCTCATTTTTCACCCATTCCACCGCATTCCTCCACATTTTACCGCATTCTACCGCATTGCACCCCATTCTACCCAGGCGTCTTTCCGCATCAGCGCCACGGGCGTGGTGCTGGAGCAGCAGCAGTCGGCTCAGGTGGTGAAGAAGCTGAAGCTGGTGGGCACGCCAGTCAAGATCTTCCGCCACACCGCATTCATCAAGGACATGTTCTCCTCCCAGCTTGAGGTTGCACGATTTGAAGGGGCAGCTGTGAGGACAGTGTCTGGAATCCGCGGGCAGATCAAGAAGGTACGCCCCGGTCTGAATGGGTTATTCTCGGTACTGAGGGGGAGGTGGGATGAGCTGGTGGGCACTCCCGTCAAGATCTTCCGCCACACCGCATTCATCAACGACATGTTCTCCTCCCAGCTCGAGGTCGCGCTGTTTGAAGGGGCTGATGTGAGGACAGTCTCAGGCATTCGAGGGCAGATCAAGAAGGTGCGTGTGGGTAGGGTTCAACTCGCTGTCACACCGCATTCATCAAGGACATGTTCTCCTCCCAGCTTGAAGTCGTGCGGTTTGAGGGGGCTGCTGTGCGGACGGTGTCGGGAATCCGGGGGCAAGTTAAGAAGGTACGCCCTGGTCTGAATGGGTTATTCTCGGTAGAGGGAGGTGGGTGGGCACGCCTGTGAAGATCTTCCGTCACACCGCATTCGTCTCTCTTCCCCCCTCCCCTTTCCCCCTGCCTGAAACACACCAGGCTCTGAAGCATGGGCAAGGCCCAGAGGGCAGTGTGAGGTGCGCATTCGAGGACAAGATTCTGATGAGCGACATTGTCTTCCTGCGCGCCTGGGTCAAGGTCACTGTGCCCAAGCCACGCTGCTGAGGGGTGTCAACGGCATGGCCGTGAGTCTACGTGACGCTGTGCCCTCCTCCTACCTTATTCTTCTACCTCCGCCTCCCCTCTCCCCGATCCCCCCCCCCCCCCCCCCCCCCCCCCCTTTGTTCACCTTCGCCCCTCAGGCTCTGAAACATGGGCAGGGACCTGAAGGAAGTGTGAGGTGCGCATTCGAGGACAAGATTCTGATGAGCGACATTGTCTTCCTGCGCGCCTGGGTCAAGCTCACTGTGCCCAAGCTCTACAACCCCGTGTGCACGCTGCACTGCATGGCCCGTGCCTCGCTCAAGGTGGCCGGAGCCGGAAGGTGAAGGAGATGAGGGGTCAACGTGACCGTGCCCTTCTCTCTCCTCATTCTTCTGACTCCCCTCTCCCCTTCCTTTTCCCGCCATTCCCCCCCTCCCTGCATTCTGTGGCTTCCAGGCTCTGAAACATGGCCAGGGGCCGGAAGGCAGTGTGAGGTGCGCCTTTGAGGATAAAATCCTGATGAGCGACATTGTCTTCCTGCGCGCCTGGGTCAAGGTCACCGTGCCCAAGCTCTACAACCCAGTGTGCACGCTGCTCCAATCAGCGAGCGCCACGTGGCAAGGCATGAAGACTGTGGCAGAGCTCAGGCGGGAGCAGCAGCTGCCCATCCCCGTTAACAAGGACTCCCTTTACAAGGTACGGTTATCAAAAGATTGTTAAAGATTGTTGCGTTTATACATATCAGCAGGAACAGCTACTCGTCCCCGTTAACAAATACTCCCTTTATAGAGTACTGTGGTGCATAAAGAAAACTACTGTGTTTGTATGGTTTGGCACTGCCATCTCTGCAGTTGAGGGCTGTACCTCAATCCTTTCAAAACAATAGCCCCGTCTGCAACAGCTAATTGCTGTGACTTCTGCTCAAATGTCACCTCTGCTTCTACTAATTGTTGTGCTGCTCGTTCCATATTTGTTTGTTTATTACTTTAGGACATTATAGAAGTCATCCTGAACCTTCATTCTGATCCCTCTAACGGAACCCTTTCAACCCTCTTTTCCATCTCAACCCCCTCATACCCCTGCATCCCTCTAATTGTCTTCAACCCCTCACAGCCCATTGAGAGGCGCCCGCACTCCTTCAACCCCCTCAAAACGTTCCCTCACACCCCTTCAACACCCGCAACCCTTTCTCATCTCTCTCAACCCCTCCCAGCCAATTGAGAGGCGCCCGCGCTCCTTCAACCCTCTCAAGATTCCCGCGAAGCTGCAGGCAGCGTTGCCCTTCTCCTCCAAGCCTAAGGATGAGGTTCGGCGCACAACACCGAGCCTGGAGCAGCAGCGGCCGGCGGTGGTGATGGAGCCTCAGGAGAGGCGGCTGCACACTATGGTGCAGCAGCTCAACACCATCAAAAACCAAAAGGTACAGTAACGTATGCCATGCTGGTAGTGTAGTGGTGGAGGTGGGCGGTGGTGGTGAACCTGAAATGGAACAACTTCACCTCCACTTACCACCATTGTACAGTGCTGGGAGTAGAATGCTGCGTTTTTTGGGTTAGCAGCTTGGCACAACTAACAGCTCAACGCCCGCATTGTTGTTCCCGTTTTCACCCTTCCTACCTTTGCCATCTTGCCTTCCGCTTCCCTTATTCCGCATGCAGGTGAAGAAGCGAAGGGAGACGACGCGCAAGAAGCGAGCGGAGTATGAGAAGCGCAAGGCAGCGGACGAGGAGGAGCAGAAGTACAGGCGGCGCGAGGAGAAGAGGGAGAAGTACAGGAAGGAGGCGAAGAGGAAGTTTGGTGGTGGCAGGGGTGGAGGTGATGATGCTGGGCCGCCTGGAAAGAGGGGCCGTGGGTTGCAAGCTGAGTAATGCTGTTTATGTCCTCTGGTGGTGCGTGATTCAACCGCTTTTGCCTAGATTTCCGTATACTGATGGATGATCTGTGATTTAAGGAACCGTTGAACACGGAGCAGTTAATCTTTGAAGACCTCTCGATCATGTTTTCACTATTCGACCGAGGGTGGATTATACGCTGCGAAATTTGCATCCAGTAACGAGGATGAGCGATTTTCTGCAGCAGCTGCGATGGCGCAGCCTTCTGTCTGCCCCCCTGTTGCGCTGGCTCACCCCGCCAGTTTGTCATCTGAGTGCTTGGCTCTGCTGGCTCGGAATATTTCTGAACGGCCGCGATTCGCCGCACTTCTGCGCGAGTGTCACATCCAGCTCCTACTATTCGCTCGCCTTCGTCGAGTGCGGCTAATCTTGCCACGTGTTCTGGTTACCCTGCTGAGCACAGCTGGTTATCGTTAATTTATCCACGTGACGCTCAGCTGGCTGTTTTGTATTGGCGATTCCTCCTCAGTTGCGGCGAGCTTACGAAGCAAGGTTGGGCACATTTTCGCCCGTGATTGCCGCTCGCGTCAGCTAAAGCAGGGTGGAACACAAATGCGGACAGGTGGGACGCGTTTCGACGACAGCGCATTTTCGCGGAGGCAACGCAGCGAAGCCAGGCGCAATTTTGCCGGGCCAGGAAGCTGGGGGAGGCACACTACCGTCTGCGAGTGAACGAACGACCCGCATCCTCGAATTTCCCTCGCCACCGTAAACATTCGGCGCCTTGAAAGGCAACTCACATTGGGGCTAGGATAAAAGGGGCTGGAACGCGTTCTGGAACCTCACTACCTAGCTCAATCCTCAAATTGACAATTATTAGCTCTACACAGTCGGCGCTTTTCTCAACCAGCGCATTTTCCTTGCTGCTTCTCTCTCTCTCTTTCACAAGCGCAAGCCGCTTGGTTGAGTGAGCTCCCTCGTCGTTTCTTACCAAGGCTCGAATTGACCGTCGTCGGCCAGTCTATGGCCGTAGCCCGCGTGTACAGTCTGTTTGCTTCATCCCACGACAACAAGAACCAGCGAGCGAGTTCGCCTTTCTCCAAGCGATTCGACCACTCCGTGCGCCCGCTCTCCGAGCTTCGGTGCCGCTTAGAAGACCTCATACCGGACCAGCGCGACCGCGTGCGGAACCTAAAGACCAATTATGGCTCCGTGTCGCTCGGCGAAACGACCATCGATATGGCGCTTGGCGGAATGCGTGGAATTAAAGGCCTAATCTGGGAGCCCTCCATCCTCGACGCAGATCTCGGAATTAAGTACCGCGGCTTGTCTATCCCCGACTGCCAGCGCCTCCTCCCCTCCGCAATTCCCGGCGGCGAGCCGCTTCCCGAGGCGCTCTTATGGCTCCTCATCACGGGGGAGGTTCCGACGCCGATTCAGGCGGCGTCTATTACGGAGGAGCTGAGGCTGCGCGCGGCGAATGTGCCGGATCACGTGTTCACAGTGCTTCGTTCCCTCCCGAAGCATCTTCACCCCATGTCCCAGCTCTCTATCGGTGTAACGGCTCTTCAGTCCACCAGCGAGTTTGCCAAGGCTTATTCTTCCGGCTTCGTGCACAAGACTCGTTACTGGGAGTCCGTGTACGAGGACGCGATGAACCTTATAGCGGGTATACCGGTGATCGCGGCGTTTATCTACCGCCGGGTGTTCAAGGATGGGCGTATGATACCGGCTGATCCCACCCTCGATTACGCCGCGAATTTCGCGCACATGCTTGGTTTCGACGATCCCGGGTTTTACGAGCTCATGCGGCTTTATTTGACGATTCACGCGGATCACGAGGGCGGGAATGTCAGCGCGCATACCACGCATCTCGTCGGCACCGCTCTTTCCGATCCCTACTTGGCGTATGCTGCGGGGCTGAATGGTCTGGCGGGTCCGCTTCACGGGCTGGCCAATCAGGAGGTGCTGAATTGGCTTCACGAAGTTCGCGAAGAGCTCGGCGAAGCCCCGACGAAGGAGCAGCTGGAGGGGTTCGTGTGGAAGACGCTCAAGGCGGGGAAAGTGGTGCCGGGTTTCGGACACGCGGTGCTACGGGTTACCGATCCGCGATACATTTCGCAGAGGGAGTTCGCACAGAAGCATCTGCCCGACGACCCCATGTTCCACCTGGTTTCTGACCTGTTCGACGTCGTTCCAGGTGTGCTGACGCAGACGGGGAAAGTCAGAAACCCGTGGCCTAACGTTGACGCGCACAGTGGAATTCTACTCGCGCATTATGGGCTTAACGAGTCAAACTTTTATACTGTGCTCTTCGGTGTTTCCCGCGCGATGGGCGTCCTGTCGCAGCTGATCTGGGACCGCGCCTTGGGATTGCCGATCGAGCGCCCCAAGAGCGTGACGATCAAGTGGCTGGAGGAGCACGGCGAAGCGGCGAAGGCTCGCGAGGCGGCGAAGGCTCGCGATCTGTCGGAGATGGTGGAAATGGTAGAGACTGCTTCAAGGCTGTGATGATAAACTTGGGGCTTTGACTATATCGGAGCTGTGATTGCACGGAGAAGCGATCGTTGTGGGCGGCCCTCAAGCTTTGCCACATCGGGTGCCACCTCTCCTTGCGCACAACCACTCAACAACTTCATCCGGACCTCTCCTTGCGTTATGTGTTAGCTTTCAGTTTCCTCACTTCCTTTTTCTTTTGCCTTTTTACTGGTTCCTTGAGACACCCTGAATTGTGTTGTACAATAAAGTCAGGGTGGCTCCTGGTAACTACTCCTAGCAAGCACTGACGCTGTGCTGCCAGAACCGCTTGCCCGGTTCGTTCTCCATCGTTTAGAGATTGTAATGTCGTTTTGCTTATCAAATTTGGAACACAATTGCCACTGATACAGGAGTACTGGTAGATTACCTCTGTGAAGGGGAGGTATCGACATGCTTCGACCACGTGTTTGGAAAGGAGATAGGAGGGGAGTGCTGAAGAAGGGGGGAGGAAGTTGGGGGATTGAAAGGTTTGCGAAAAATGGGGGAAATTTGCGAAAACCTAGCATTTCCGAACACGAGGAGGGTTGCTGGAAATACCACATTTGGAGCAAAAAGCGGGTCACAGGATTCGCGCGGAAGTATTTCCCCGGTACTTTTGCTTTGGCGAAGCGAGAGGTTTCGTTACATTTTCGGAAATGCGGGTGGGAGTTATTGCCAAGCAGGCAAAAGGATCCACATTTAGCCCCTCCCTGCGTGTGCGGCGGTGTGTGTTCCGTATCGGTTCCTACATATTCTAGAGCGTCTGGGTAGGGTGACAAGCGAAAAGGGAAGTCACACCCTCATATTTGGTTTGTCTATGGCGAGACAATTACTGATATCGAGTGACTCTTACTGAGTGCCCTCTTTCGCTACTCTGGGAAGAAATCATGGCAGACGCTATGGACATCGACGCGCCCGATTCGACCCGCAATGCAACGGCGACGTGTCCACCAGATCCCGCGGCGCCAATCGCGGACGATTCGTCTCCGCAAACAGCGACGGGGCGCGATCAACGAGAGCCACAGGATGCGGACGACGCGGCAGATAAAGGGTGTCCGGAGCGCGAGAGCTCGAGCCGCAGCAGCGAAGAAGACCCGGTCGTGACGCTCACGCGACGCGGAGAGGAAGGGACGCAGCGATTGGTCGAAGCCGCGGAAGGTGTGCTGTCCACGCTGAACCTCGTCATGTGCAACGGCGCCTTCTGGGAAGCTTCTTCTGAAACTGCAGTCCCCAGCAGTGCAAGCTCTGAGCAGCAGCAGAGGCGAACCTCGGGATTGCCGCCGGATGCGGCAGCAGCAGCCATAGAAATGGCTCACCTTCGATATAAGAACATCTCGTCAGAGCTCCGGTCGCTCCTGCTGAGGCTGCAGGAAGAGATGGAGAAAGAGACAAAGCAGGCCGGCCGGCCAGCAATTGACGGGGAAGGAACTAAAGGGGGAGAGACCCAGAGATTGGGCGTTGATTTTAACCCAGAGTCTGCTGCACCTGATAGTGGAACGGCACCTGATGGGGCACCTGATTCAGCACCTGAGCCATCTGCTGCAGCGCCAGGTGCAGCTGAGACGCTGTCTGTAGAGGAGTTGACCGCGCGAGCAGCGACACTGAGAAAGGTGCGAACATTAGCTTAAAACACTGCAAAGTTTACAAATCGCTAAGCAATTAGAATAAGCAAATACGTAAAAAAAAACAAGCATAAGAGGCATCTGAGGGCATCTGATGAGGCAGCTGAACGCAACAATGGGTGACGGAGGTTGAAGGTGGGTGGTGAGGGATGAATGGTGGTTGACGGGTGACGAATGGTGGGTGATGCTACCTCTCCTGTCCGTGTTCTCCCCCGTCTCTGCCACTCTCCCCTTCCTTGGCACACATCTGGACAGGAGGTGCAACGTGTGGCTGAGAGTAGCTACTGAGAAGGATACCGGACAGTGTCACTCACCCTTCCCTCTTTACATCTCCCACGTGACATCCAACTCAATTACGGTACTCCCCTTTCTGTAACAGCAAATCCGGAGGTGCAACGTGCGGCTGAGAGCAGCAATGGAGGCGCTGAGGGGCATTCTGGATGACGTCACTCTCTTTCAGGCACCCCAACTGCTGCTGCTCTCACAACCCTGATCCTGCTGCTCTCACAACCCTGATCCTGCTGCTCTCACAACCCTGATCCTGCTGCTCTCACAACCCTGATCCTGCTGCTAACTGATCGACCCTAGCATCAAACAAGCACCACAGCTGCTGCAGCTCTCACAATCCTGACCATCAAACATGCATCAACCAAGCCTGTGGCTCTGACAATCATAGTTGAACACATTCAAGGGCCATGCCACAAGTTGGGCCCTGTGGTGTTACTGTACCTTCCTGCTCTTTGGCACCAATTGTGGTTATGTAACATCCGGTCTACATCTGATCGATAAGGATCATCCGAGCGTGATAATGGAAGAATTAAGTAGATCTCAGTAACATATCTTTATCATTTTCCAGTTGTATGATGTATCAGTAGTATTGCGTGTCAGAATCCCAGCCACTAACCACTGGGATAAAAGGGCTTGTTTGTGTGGCGGGTGAGTGCGCCCATAACCCCCCAGGCCAACGTGCCTGTAACCCTTCCCTAGGATCAACGGGGATCACCAGTGGACCTCTAACACCCCCCCGCACTGGGATGCCCGAAGTGCATACACCGGGATTCGAACCCGAGACCTTCGCTCTGATACCATGTCAGAATCCCAGCCACTAACCACTGGGATAAAAGGGCTTGTTTGTGTGGCGGGTGAGTGCGCCCATAACCCCCCAGGCCAACGTGCCTGTAACCCTTCCCTAGGATCAACGGGGATCACCAGTGGACCTCTGACATTGCGGATAATCAACGTGGCCTCGTTCTCTTTCCGGCAATAAGCCAGAGCCTCTCAAACCCATCACCTACTCTTCGAGGTGACTTTTGAGTCGACTCAAAAGTCACCTCAATAATCAACGTGGCCTCCAGGGCTCAGGTTATCAGTGTAATTTACCCTTCTACACTGATTACAAGGGTGAAATTTTGGGTCTACACTGATGTGCTGGGGTAATTTTTTTATGAGTTAGTGTTACACTGATCAGTAAGTGTATCGATGTAGGCCACACTGATGCCTTGGGGTAAAGTTTCCCTTAGCTGGGATTACCGTAATCACTCGGACAAAACACCCCCCCGTAATAGTACACCCCCGGGTAGCTTGTGCGGGGGGGGTGCTATAGCCGACCTCGTTTGTACTATACCCCCCCTTTTGGGGCGATTCTTCATAACACCCCCCTTTTATTACGAAACCCTATTATAGCTGTTATCGAGTCAGATTTTTTACGGGAGGATATGACGAAAATCGCTCCCTGAATGAAATTTCGCGTGCACTTTCACTTCGAATCTACCGAGATTCCCTCCCTTCCACAATCTCGCTGTCGCCACGCTGGCGAATCTTTTGCTGCACGTGGCCCGAGATGTGAAACTCGCTTTCTCGCCAAAACTCGAATTCTCGCCTCAACCTGTGATGTTATAACGACTATTGAAACACCCAAATTGTCTAATTAATTTTTTTTCTTACACTAAAAAGTGCCATATATAACCACCCGGGTATTATATAGGATTTTCCGTTGAGAGGACCCCCCCCCATTTTTTCCCTGTGGTTATCATAATACCCCCGGGTGTTATTGTCAAATGTTGTAGCCTATAGTGAGGTTTGTCTTAGGGGGTACAAAACTTAGGGTTAGCTATATGTACCCCAACCAACATCAATGCATCATCCATTCTTCATTCTGACATGGTATCAGTTAGGTTAGGATCCTGTGGGATCCCGTTCCTCCGTTCTCCGTTCGAGCCTCCCGAGCCTGATCCTAGCTCTCATTCGTCCCGGTTCCGTTGTTACCGCGCGTAGTGCCGCGCCTAGCGCCACTCCTAGCGTCGCGTCCTGCCCGCCCTTTCCCCCTCGTCGCGTCCCTTTCCCCCCGTCGCGTCGCGCCCTTTCCCCCCAGTCGCGTCGCCCCCCTTTCCCCCCGTCGCGTCGCGCCCTTTCCCCCCGTCACGTCGCCCTGCCCCGTCCCGTCGCCCTGCCCCGTCCCGTCGCCCTGCCCCGTCCCGTCGCCCTGCCCCGTCCCGTCGCCCTGCCCCGTCCCGTCGCCCTGCCCCGTCCCGTCGCCCTGCCCCGTCGCGTCGCCCTGCCCCGTCGCGTCGCCCTTCCCCGTCCCGTCGCCCTGCCCCGTCGCGTCGCCCTGCCCCGTCGCGTCGCCCTTCCCCGTCCCGTCGCCCTGCCCCGTCGCGTCGCCCTGCCCCGTCGCGTCGCCCTGCCCCGTCGCATCGCGCCCGCCCTTTCCCCCGTCCCGTCGACCCTACGCCCTGGCCCGTCGCCCTAGCCCGTTCTTCCGCTGCGACTAAGTCCCCCCCCCCCCGCCTGAACCCTAATTTGCCTCTTCCCTCCTGCTGTTACTCGCCTGCTCGTTCGCGTTAGTTCTCGCTATGGCGACTCCGCGAGTTCTTCGTTTCGACGCTGACGGTAGACCTCTTGACTTTTCCGTCTGGCTTCTTCGCGCTCGCCGTCTGTTAGAGAGTCAAGTCCAGGGGGGCGAGACCCTCTGGTCGCACGCTACTGGTGACCTCCCCGAGCCCCCCGAGCCTGCCGCTTTAGGTCCTGCCCCTGACGATGCTGCTACGGCTCGCTTTGCCCGTCAGCGCGCTGACAGGACGGCTTGGACGTCGCGTGACGCTGCGGCCTGCATCGCACTCAGCAGCCTCCTCCCTGAGTCAGAGGAGGTCCACTTCACTCAGGTTCGCACCGCTGCTGCGTACCTCACTGCGATTAAGGCCCGCTACTCTACTCCCGCTACTGTCTCTCTTGGCCGTCTTTTCCTCCCGTTCCTGTTTCCTGATCTCGCCTCGTTTGAGCGCTCTGCTGACTTGATCACTCACCTTCGCTCACTCAACGCTAGTTACCGCGCTGCTTGCACTGAGGCACAGCTTGCACTGCTTCCTCCCCCTATGGCGATTACTATCTATTTCATCGCCACTAGCCTCCCTGACCGCCTTGCCTCCGTTCGCGACGCGCTTCTGCTGAAGCACCCTAGTGAGCTCACCGTCGATGTCCTTGAGTCTACACTCAAGGACGTCGAGAGCAACCTTCGCTCGGTAGCCGCTGCCTCTGGTGCTGTGCCCCCCCCACTCTTCCACGGGTGCACAGTCCCGCAGTTACCCACCTTTACTGCCTCACTTGCCACTGCCGCTACTGACGCGACTGCAGCTGCTGTTACGACTGCGTCGCGGTCCCGCGGTAGGAGTGGCAAGAAAGGCGGTTCTGGTGGTGGTAGTGGAGGTGGAGGCGGAGGTAGTGGAGGTGGCGTTGCGCCTGGCGGCGGTGGAGGTTCAGGGCCTGGAGAGGCGCCTCGTGCAGTGACTGGTGACTCCACTGCGCCTGCTAGTGGTGGCGACGCCCGAGTTCGTCAGTCGCCTCCTGTACTTCCTGCCCCGGTTGGTGGAGCAGCGGCGTGGTACCAGGCTCAGCGTCAGCAGCAGCTTCTGCAGCACCAGCAGCCCCTCTCCTCCCAGCAGCCTCAGCAGCAGCAGCGGCAGCAGCTGGCTCCAGGGTCGGGGCTGCGTCAGACCCAGCGTGGTGCTGCTTACACTCCCTGCACCTACCAGGTTCTGACAGGCCCTCGTCGTGGCCACCCTTGTGGCCGGTTTCACCCCCCTGGTCAGTGCTTTGCTCAGCTCACTGACACGGTTCGTTTGGTCTACGGGGTTGGTGCTCCTGCCCCTGACTGGCTGCCTCTTGTTCAGCGCTACGGCTCCGCTCTGTGGGGCATGTCTGCTGAGCAGTTAGTTGATCTGATTGGTACTCCCCATGCTATGTATGCTGTTGTTGACTCTAGTGTTTCTGACTCTGCTTACTCTGGTGTTGTTAGCTTAGGTGCTAGCCTTGCTCAGTTGCCTGTTGCTAGTGTAGGTTCTTGTGTAGACTCTAGTCCAGCGGCTACCTCAGAGGACGGTTCGCTGTCGTTCACGCTGGACTCTGGAGCCTCTCACTGCTTCTTTCGTGACAGCACGACACTTACGCCTCTTCCTGCGCCTGTTTCTGTGGCGCTGGCTGATCCCACTTCGGGACCAGTCACCGCGCGTCACACTACCACCTTGCCGTGTCCGGCTGCTCCTTCTGGGTCTCTCACTGGGTTTCACGTCCCCTCGTTCTCCCGGAACTTGGTGGGCGTGCGACCCCTCGTGAGTCAGCACGTGGGTGTGTGGTTTGAGCCTTCTGGAGAGACTGCGGTGTGTGTTGACGGGGACTCTTACCAGCCCCTCGCCACTTTTGCTGCTGAGCCGGGCTCCGGTCTCTACACTCTTCACACTGGCCCGCGCGCTCAGCAGCGACTGCAGCAGCAGCAGCAGCCGCAGCAGCAGCAGCAGCAGCAGCCGCAGCAGCAGCAGCGGCAGCAGCCGCAGCCGCAGCCACAGCGGCCGCCGTCGCAGCAGCCACTCCTCCCAGTTCCTGTCCCTCCCCCTAGTCTCCTCCCTGCGTCTCACCAGGTGGTTCCGTCCCCTCAGGTTGTCGCGTCCAGTCCAGTCGCTGCGTCTTGCTCCTGTCGGTCGCTTGCCCACCCCACCGTTCTGTGGCACCACCGGATGGGACACCCTTCTCTTCCACGTCTGCGTGCTATGTCTAGTCAGCGTCTGGTCTTAGGTCTCCCGCGTGTCTTGCCGTCGCTGCCGCCGTCCCTTGCACCACCGTGCGGTCCTTGCGTCGAGGGTAGGCTGCGTGCCACCCCTCACTCCTCCTCCCTTCGTCCGGCCACCGAGCCTTTTGAGACGCTGCACTTGGACGTCTGGGGCCCCTCTCCTCGCCCTGGCCCTGAGCGTGAGCGTTTCTTTTTGGTGGTCGTTGACGACTACTCCCGCTACACCACAGTGTTCCCCCTGGCGAGGAAGTCTGAGGTGACTTCTACGCTGATCAGGTGGTTGCTTACCACCCAGGACACTCGTGGTCGTCGTGTCAGCTGTCTCCACTCCGACCGCGGGGGCGAGTTTCGCTCCGGCATTCTCGCTGGATTCTGTCGCGAACAGGGCATTCGTCAGTCCTGGACGCTTCCGGAGTCCCCACAGCAGAATGGGG